CCAATCCCCCCCCCCCCCCGTCGGGGAGAAAAAGCACAATTCGTCGGGGAGAAAAAAAAAATCATATGTATTTTCTACATAGGAGACTCTAAAATCGATTAAACAAGCCTTTGAAACCCCTAAATTGTCAAAATTTTCGGGGGCTTCGCCTCCTGGACCACTTTCGATGCTCGACCACGCCTACTTTGCTTTCGTCGGGGAAATCTGACCCCTCGTCGGGGGCATCGGGGCCCCTCCCCCGTCAGGGACTCGCCCCCCCCCCGGCGGGGGGGGGCCCGGCGAGAGTCCTGGCGCCACCCCTGTTTCTACTATGAATGATTTATTCCTTTTGTATACGGTATTATATATACCCGTATATACAAATGTTTAATATTATCTGCATACATAGATTCCTGTTTTTCCTAATTAAAAAAAAAATATAGGCCTAGTTAGTCAATTGAATTTTATATAGCATTAAACAATAATTATACAGCCTTTGACGCGAATAGGTCTATCTACTTCGACTTATTTAAATAGTGATACCACAAGTTTACGAACTCCGATGTTACGTGGACGCAATCTCGCCATGACGTCATGATAATGATAAATTAAGTATCATCTTTGTTTGTTTGTGAAATAAATGCTGAATAATGTTATGTGTGCTTCCTATCGCCCTAGTCCTATTTGATCGTAAATTAAACGGTAGTATTTCGTTCCACTCACAATAGTGTAGTCGCATTGCTATCGGTACTTGCACAAAAGTGAAATTCAAAAAAAGAAAAGGGAAAACTTCTTGATTGATTTTAAAAGTACTGTGCTTGCAAAGAGACTAAATAGAGTGACTGTTTTAAGTTTATCTTATTTGTGTTCATGGTTTGAATACGTCAGAAGGTAATCAGTAGATAATAAATCATTATTTTTATAAATGTTTGCACGAAATATATAAGCGGGCATGATTATGATTACCAGGATAAATTGAAAAATGTTTATGACGAGTATTTCAGTGGCAGATTAAAGGAGGTCCAGCCAGCCCACCCTCCCTATTTTTTTCCCCAAAATTTAAAAGTGGACAAAAGAGAAATTTATATTCAAATTTAAGTCTGAGAGTGCCATTTCCGGCCAACTAGAGGTGCCCAAAACTTGGTGGGGCTGAGGTGGCACATTCCATCTGTAAAAGTCCCACCCTGGGCCCCCTCCACCCAGGGCCCCCTCTGTTTCGGCTCCCAGTCGAGGTTGTGGCCTACGGCCCAAGACTTCTTTATTTTGCAATTCTTTTCCCCGCCCCCACACTTTCAACCACGGATCGACGCCCTTAACATAGACCCCTATTCCAGAACAGATATGAAATAAACACACCGGTGGCATTTTATAGACTAACTTCAATTATTTATTACACAAGCATTCGCAGCAGTCTATGCTGGCTTCATCAGGTGTAGTAAGAATTGAAGAACAGATATGGTATAGAAATTGAAAAACGGAAAATTATACAAAGCGTAATCTACAACCTTAACTTTATGGAAATAGTTTATGAGCGGTATTATAATAATATTCAATCTGTTCTCTCAACAATTTCTCACCGTTACCTATTCATACACAATAACAGAAAAAACATAAGTTTAGGTATGTTAACTTTTAAATTCGGAATGTACTCCTTTCGGAATTATTGTACCAGCTTTTTATAGACACTGTTTGATGATAAAATTGAGAATAGACCTATCTATAAGGCATGGAGTATAGCTATTCGAAGAGTGTGGCGAATTCCTAGGCAAACACATTGCTCCTTACTCCCTCATATTGCTGGCTATATTGACATCCAAGTAATGCTAGCTATACGTTGTATTACTTTCATTCAATTCGGAAGTTCAACATATATAACTAAAATGGGTCTGTGTGGATCGTATTCAATTATGGGGGTGGGGGGAACTTTAGAACGTTGACATCTTGTTTCAATATGAATACCAATTTGGTAACTGATGTCTGGATCAAAATCATTAACGAAAGTGAGGAAATGCTTAAAACTGCTGAGCAAATAAAAGAACTAATTAACATGAGGGATAACTTTCCAGATACTTTAAACATCCCTCAGTGGAATTATATAATTGAATTTCTGTGTACCAGTTAGTTTTATTTGTTGCGAAGTTATATTTCTCGCATTTTGATGTTTTGTATTGCTCTGACTTCGTTTAAGTTTTTGTGCTTGTGTTTCTGAATTTTTCTGTAGGCCTGTAGTGCATTTTATGAAATTTGTGAATAAAGAAAACTGAACTGAACAACTCGCACTTGATAAAAGTGACGATAACTACATTTACGCGGTATTCTGAAAGCATTATTTTACACATAGAATAACAGTCAAAATATTCGTAGTTTGACAACTTAGCCTTTTATGTTGTTTTAAATAATCAGCGTGCATTTCCGACTCACTTGCCGGTTATACCGTATTCAGTACCGTATATATTGGCTACATGTTGTAGGCTCTAGGCCAGAGGCTACATCATTGACTTTCAAAGTCCAGCGGTGTTGTAGAAATTGAAATCATGTATTTTGCATAAGTACTTTAAATTTGCCGTCGTTAGTACGTCGACGAACCGGTTGATTGAATGAACTGCATACAGTACTGTAGCCTACTTGAAAACTATGTTCTCGCCCGCCAGCACGCGATTGTCCACCGGTCGGGTAGAAGAACTACTTATGCAAGGAAGGAGGTACAAATTACATCATTTATTTGTATACTAGTTCACACTCGGGTAAAGAGAATCTCATTAATATCAAACAAAGCGCCTGCAGAATGAAGAAAAATAGTGAACTAATGTCTAATGATAAGGATGGAAAGTGACTAAGAACACATCGAGAATATTGATAAAACATGATTAATTATGAGGGTGATTACTGATACGGATAAAAATAGTTATTGTTGTTTTTATTGTCATTGTCATTGTCATTTTTATTGTTATTAATTATTACTCTTACTCTGTCACCGTACTGTTACGTCGCTACTGTTACTGAAATGTTAATGTTCATGTTATTGCATAGCCTACATATTCAAGAATGTTTTAGGCACGAACGACAATAATGATAATGACGTATTCGTTTTCGTTATCGTGTTTTTAATGTTGCGAAATCTGAATATTGATGCCTATAAGCCTGTTATTGTCGTAGAATTTATATTTATTTATTAACTCTATATGTTGTTTCAGATATGGTGATATCAGCGCCATCACACAGGAGGAGAAGGCTTATTCTATACTGGCAATGCTAGTGGGAATCGCCGTTTTCTACGGTGTGATCCTCGGTGGCATGGCCTCGATGATGACCAACTTCGACTCCCAACGTGCTAGATACACACATCGCTTGAACGTCATCAAGGAAAATCTTGTACGTGCAACACAATATAATAGCCTACTATAATTTAATTCATATGCTCTGTCCACACTCTGGGACAAATTCGTGTGATGTGCCCATATATGGGCATAATGATGCCATATTACACCCAAATATTTACATATCACATTTATTTGTCACAGACAATTTGACAGTGTGGATAGAAATATTATACACATAGTTTGCATGAACAGGAAACTTGGGTTGAAATACAAGTTTTGGCAACATGTTTTCTCTCTCTGTTCACAATAGTTGTTATTATTAATATGTTATTATATGATAGTAATGCAAAAGCAATATTTTAAGTGGATAAGCACAACCGGTATAGATAGCGAAATATTATTGCTGACAGGTTGCAGGTTTGAAAGCCACCGGAAGTACCTTTTTATACACTGTGACTGCACGGTACAATAATAACAAATTTTCCTTTATTTGCGCATTGTTTCTATCAATTATATAAATTCTATATAATAAATTACAGTGAAAATAAGCAGCAGTTTGGCGCAGCGGTTGAGGTTTGGGCTTTCAATCGTAAGTTCGGGGTTTCGAGTCTCCGCTGTGCAGATTCGCTTGTGTCCTTGGGCAAGGCACTTTTATTTAGCTACATTGCTTCAGTCCACCCAGCTGTATCAATAGTACCAGCAAACTACTGGGGACTAACCTGCGATTGACTTGTGTCCCGTCCAGGGGGAGTACAACTCTCATCCGCTTCACACTACAGAAACTGGGGATAAGCTCCAGCCCTATGAGCCCAGTGGCTCGTAAAGGATTAAGTAGTTAAACAGTGAAAATATGTAGGGTAAAATCCTGGATAAGCACAATGCTGTGAGAAATGATTTTGATTGAAATACAAATTTGAAAAGCGAAAGCTAAAAATGTAAGCGCAAATGAACAGCCACTAGTAGAACCAGGGCATTTGGACCACACAAGGCATTTACCGGTATATGACTATCCTACAGTATGTGTCTATGTATGTTTAAAATGCGTCAACGATAAAGTAACGAATTGCCAATGCTTTGCACAATAAAGAGGTTGTAAGGAGCAGTCGGGTCACGTGATTATGAAACTAGAACGCGGACACGGTGCATATCGGTTCAATACGATTTCAGGATTTATGAAGCCTTAAAAAAGCTTACGGAACGGAATCGTCATTTCATTTTGCATATTCCTTCTGTAATCATTCAAGAAATGTTGATATTCCTTCTAAAATCTACCCAACCTAGAACAGTAATTGTTACCAAATCATCAATGCATTGCATTCACTGATAAAAATTTATATAATTAACATACAGTACGCAATTAAAGCAAGTACGCAATTAAATATTTGCCTATGGGAATTTAGTTTTAAATTACCATACCTTTAATATGTTTTGAAGCGATTATATAAACAATATCTACCAAAATCGAATTGTAATGTGCTGAATCTTAAGTTTCCCTTCTAAAAGTAGAACGTCACCCCTTATCAAATAATATACGGTCTCGTATTACTGTCGTTAAAGTTTTTAATGCAAAGGAATACATTTGTAAATGTACGCCCGTAAACCGATAACCAACTCATTACATATTCACATATAAGACTGTTTCATAAAGAATCCAGATTCAGACAGTCTCGTATATCTTTATCGATATAAATTTAACTTGTAACTTGTTTCAAAAAGGTCCTCTAACCTAATACCAAATAAAAGAACTGGAATAAAAAAAAAAATTACGAAGACAATCAGCAGCAGTCACGTACAAAGTTATTATTTATTCAACGAAAAGAAATTGATATACAGCTACGCCAGCGTATCCGTAATTGCGCGTGTACATTTATTATTATGTTTGCATGAGTGCTTTCTGAATGCTTTTGGCATCACACCACATATATTATTTGTATAATTATACTCATCTATATTTTTCCAGTGATATTGTATCTGTTTGCAGTCGTCTTTTGGTCTAATACCATTTTGAATCATCATTTTGGATAAGACGATCATCCGGTGATATTAACAATGTTTCGAATTTTTGTGCACACCGCATAGTGTACACCATTGTGGATGAAAACAACGGTTAGATATCCGTGCCCTTGATTACAAGTATTCACACCTGCTGGGGATTGTAACATCGATTCTTAGATTAGTCAACACTATAACAACTCCCTGGTCAAACGTCTTAAACCTAACACTTAGCCCTGTTTCCTAAACCTTAACGTCAGTGTTAAATAAATATTAGATGATATGAATGAAAATCCCCTTTTTTTAATTACAGGAGTCAGCCCATTATTTTTTTTTCATATGATTTCCCTGTCAATAATTCAGCTAACGTAAATCTATCAGTTGCGTACAGCTACAGGAAAAGTCACTTTCATCATTTATCATTTGTTGCAGTACTTATCTATTGAAATGTTTACAATGTAATATAGATATATAAATATCATATAGGCCAACACGTAATAGACGTATCTGCTATTTTTAACACTACAGTGATCATAAATTTGTACACTGTTATTGCGTTTAGAGTGTAGAATTGTAATCGTGACTGTACCTTTACATAGAGTATTACAACTACTAGATACCTAATACCACGACTATGATGTATTTGCTGGTCACACAATTTATGTGGATTTACAAAATTACGTCGAATACCTTAAATGGATTGTCAATTAAAGCGGAATCTATTCAAAAATCTACGGGTTGGAATTTAGATGATAAATGACATTGGGCTCGTGATTTAAACATTGTCGTGTAGGTTGATTTTGAGCTGGAATCGTTAACATCGATGAGTAATCTAGGGGACGTGTTACTAAGTTTCTCATGTATCTGCCTCATACTGTGATTCAGCTATTGTGCATTTCATTAAAATGCAGGTCTCCCTTTAATTAAAGACCACGTTTGCGGAGACCGTGGTTTTCATGGTCTTTCACCTTTGGTCTTTAAATAGAAAAATAATTAGAAGGATAAGTGGTCATACAGGGCCACAGTAAAATAAAAGGTGGTCTTTATTTGGAAGGGTCTTTAATATAGAGGGCGACCTGTACCAGGGCTTCGGTTATAAATGGGTTTTGTCAAAATGTGTTTGTTATATTGCGGCTACCTTTATCCTTAAATCCTCCGCTACATTTTGACGTTGAAAATTGGAAAATTGGAAAATTGAAGAAAGAAAAAGAAAAAATTGATCGATCAAAACGCTTCAGAGGTTATTTTCAAGCGTCTAGTAACAACAATTTCGTGGAGGCTTTCGCGCCCAGCACACCCTAGGGTGGTGTTATCTCAATCGGCCCCATTTTCAGCCCCCTTTCACCCCCCTCTTTTTGGACATCTCTGGATCCGCTCCTGAGTTGAAGATCAATTTGTCTACAACAGACAGTGTGACCATGTTCAAACTCGAACAATTTGATTGATGCTTCCAAAACATTTGTTCAGATATCAGTAAATACCAAATAGGTTTTAAAAGAAATAGTTAAATTATGTCAATACGAGAGGGTGCGCTCGCTTCGCTCGGTATGTAAACGTCGCGATTAGTTTCGATAAAATGAACTTAAAATTAACATGATTTGCAATAGGTAGGCCTACAATACAACATATTTTTGTCAGGGGCAGCTAAAGCCAAGTTTTGTTTACTGTAACTAACTAAGAAACCGAAAACCGACTGTGTTTGTTAACCGACAGTGTCTGAAAACCGAGTGTGCTTCTTTTTGCGTTCCATATAAAACCCCAAAACAACTGAGACACGGCTAGTTAATGCTGAAGTACGTACGTCAACAGTAACATGTGGTCGGGAAAGCTACCAGTCCAGTGGAAAACGATGGAAAAAGTCATTATTTTTTCCTTAATTAATTTGAAATATGGATTGATATTCATTTCGGGAGATCGGGACATTGATGATCTATGTTAATTGTTACAGTTTTCCAGACCGGTAGGTTTCGAATCTCAGACGTTTATTGATGATCTAGGTTTTGCATTGTGATTTTAGGCTTTGAATAAGCGTGATTATAATATAGATTATGCAACAGGCGTAGGCCTAATTCAAATAACATCAAACTCATGACGGAGTCTATTCAGAATTGCATAAAAATTTAAAATATCACTCAGAATTTCAATAATGTCATTAGTAATGGATTATGTTAGTAATCAATATCATTTATGCCAAAACCTATGCCTATTTTTTTTCAGTGCAAGCAAATCTGACATTATGCACGATTGTCGACTTTTTTTTAATGCAATTTACGTATTGCACTTAATATTATTAAATGCTTAATTATGTCTGCAATTTAAAAACATTAGCACAATAGCACCTCCTAATCTTCTGTTGTGTACAGAATAATCGGATGTGACTTGAGAGTGGAGAACTTATCATGATTCATAACAATATATCTGGGTAATTCCATTGGTTGATGGACATGAGTTTAAACACAGAAATTAGATTGTTTTGATACAATGTTTTTACTCATGAAAACGTAGCGTGTATAATTACTGAAGGATGTATATGTTTATTAGGTATTGAGAACCATTTTTTGAACGCTTTCAGACTTCTGTATAAGGCGCTATATAAATCTAACTGATTATAATCCATTTAGGTTTTGCCTTAATGTCAAAAATCATTTTTGATTTAAACTTAATAAAATTGTTATAATATGAATGGCTGGTATCTGTAGTTACTGGAACAAAACAAAAATCGTGAAATTTTAACTCCGCATTCTAGGATCATACCACCTTTCATATAGGGGTCTATAATATGAATGCTACGGACGGACATTTTAACAGATTATATCTTGTATAAAAAACCTTAAAATCTTTCAGATACTTTCATTGCTAGTAAGTGTAAGGGAAAAACAAGTCTTAATGAATATACATGAAAAATTAGTAAATATTGCTGGAAATTCATTCGTAAAAATACCTAATTAGCTGCAGTCCAAAATTCAGACGTCCGTCCGTAACGAAATTAACTTAAATGTGTTTTCATGCTTCTATACAATAGATTACAATTAAAACATATTAACCTATCTCTACTACTTTGATAATTACAAAATGAATTAATAAAAATTTTTGTTGACTTTCAAAATTTAATTACAGATTTATTTAAAAATGTGTCCGTCCGTAACAAATGTTGTTACGGACGGACATGTTACGGACAGACATGCCACATAAAATACATTTTAATTGGTTATTTTATGTTAAACAAGGTTGAAATGAATTCTACTTAAGATGTTTATGTTTGGCTAATATTTTCTCATAAAATCTATCAGTAAATTGGTGGAAATATTCATTTAGTAATATAACCGCATGTGTAAATGTCCGTTTGTAACGCACTTAGGCATAATGTTCCTTCATGCTTCAAATTTACAACATTTTTACCATTCATATTGAACTCCTTTAGCATTTATAGATGCTGTAGATGTGTAGTACAATAGTTGTTAACATAAAATTTTAATTAAAGCTACTAATTGTACTGTACTTACAATTGCTTGAACCTAAAAATATTTTACAAACATCATTGAGGCTGCTATAACCCTAAATTTAAGAAAAGTCAATTATCATTTTAATAATCTAATATTAGCAATGATATTCATCATTAGGATGTTTGTCAGATAGACATTTCTGCTAAGTTGTAAAAATTAAAAACTGCCAATTCTATCTTGTCCGTCCGTAACGCTCACATAATCACACACAACGCTGTTCTATTTTTAGTGACAATATCAATCCGCACAATTTTTTTTATTTTTTATTTAAGATAGAGTGTATACTATTCTTGCATATAAACATATAAGGAACCAGCTAAGAGTGGCATTAAATATTTTTGGAGAATTAAAATTGAAAGTTTTGGAAAAGTGTCCGTCCGTAACGATGGATTATACTCAACTACATTATTACACTGAGGCGTTTTGGGCGATCATTTTTTTCTTTTTCTTTCTTTCTATTTTTTTTCCCTTTCCAACGGCGGTCCGCCCCCCCCCCACCCATAAATCCGCCCCTGAAAAATATGAATAGTTGCAAATTTTTAAATGTAATTTCTTTTTTTAAAGAATTTAATAACAACATTTATGAAGAAACTAGAATGAGGTTATTAGTATCGTTGAAGTATTTTAGATCTGACTAATAATTATATTGAAACGGGTAAAATACCGTAAGTCTTTTCGAAGGTTTCTTTCGCAAATGGTTATTTGAGGTCTTGTTGGTATCTTTATAGGGAATAGCGGTCTTCAAACCATTATTGTGCCATTGGAAAGTTCCCCATAAAAAGCTTTAAGTGGCCTGTTTTCTGGCATTCAAACTAAATGATTTTATGATTATATTGAGCATAGCCCTTCAACGAAAAGTTTCTTATATTTAGTCCGGCATAAATTTAAAATAACCTGTGACTTCAGTACGACAGTCATGTCATACCGTCAGACCACGGAAGCCTGTTTGTATACCACAGATTCAAGCCAGGCAGATATGTCTTAGACTAACATTTTCTAATGAATTATGCATAATTTGGTCTTAAGGCTTTGGCGTCAACAAATATCGGTACTTTACGACCCAAAATAACAATAAGTAAATTATAATTCACGCAATTTTCTAGAGAGGTTAACTATATTATCCCAAGTTACCACAGAAGTTCGGTTTAAAGATCATCCTTCGTTGAATCTTACCACTGAAACTCTGCTTGGATCTTGTATCACGAACACGCTTTAAAACATCGTCAGGGAGATTTAGTGTATGATTGTGTTATGCATTTGTTCATATTATCGAATTCAATAATTTGTTCAATTCAATCATTTGTTCAATTCAATCATTTGTTCATATGATCAATTACATCGAACACATATGTTATGTTACCAGGAATTGAGATTTTAACTAATACAAGACCGTTTTTTTTAAAGAATCAAAGCAAAAGTAAAGTCTCTTGTAAAATAAAAAAAAATGATTAGCTTAAAAAGGCCTAGCAATATAAGTATGTGTCACCAAAGCTTTGCCTGATGACACACTGAGGAATAGTCAAATTTTACGAGAAATTTCCGCGATACCACCTCCCCCGCTCACACTCGCACAACCACATTTTGTCAGCTACTTTTGGTTGTTATTTATTACTGTATTATGTTTTATCCACAGAGAGATCTGCGCGTAAAAGATGAAATGTACTGCCTAGTCGTTGGCTACTATGAATATCTATGGGTTCGGAAAAAAGGTGTAACTGACGACAGTATGTTCAATAAGCTTCCTCTAACATTTCATGCAGAAGTGTCTCTCAGTGCCAATAAATATATTCTTGACAAGGTGGGTAGCAAGTGTATTTTATATTACGGTAATATATGTGGCGGTGTCAAGATATGCAGCATTATTATTATGTTTCAACTCTCCGAGATATATTTTTGTAAGGAGTAGGTCAGGCATTATAAACGTTGCATTATAATGGGCGAATAAAATATGTCTTTAGTACATAATATTATTTTAAAATGCTAAAATAGTTATTCGTCTGTCTCTTTTCGGAGTTGTTATCGCCTCAATAAATACTGTACTTTACTTTACTTTTAATTTTAATTGGTATGTAAATTGTACTGCACATCTTATAGAGTAATATGATAAATTACTAATATATAAACCCAATTTTATCTTCTTCTTTTACTAGTAAAAGCTGCCTTAATTTTTCTACATAGCAATAGACCGTCTACGTCACAAAATTGCATTCAAAAGTTCCATAATCGTTTTTGTTTGTTTATCCAGTCATAGTCAGCGCATTGAGAGCTTGGTTACATGCGCTATATAAGATGACTTATTATTACTATTATTATTATTATTATGATTAATATTATTATTATTATTATTATTATTATTATTATTATTTATTATTATTATTATTGTAAAATGACTGCTCCCTGGTTTATCCATTAAATTTTTTTTTTTTTTTTTTTTTTTTTCCAGATTATAGGTAAAACAACTCGATTCATAGGCCTAGTACCGGTTTGTATTTGTCTAGAGTCTAGTTCACCAAAATTAAAAAAAATAATAGTACTCATTTGGCTGTTCTGTTCGTACAGAGACGTTTTTTTTTTCTTAGGCCTACTGAAAAAGAAAAACACACACGTCTTGCCAAAGGCAGTTTCGACCAGTTTAAAATTGTAGGCTAATTTTGTGTTTTTTGTTTCCCATTTTTTAGGCTCCAATGTTCAAGAACTTGAGTGAAGGATTTCTCAGAATGCTCTCATTGGAAATAAAACCGTCACTGTACCTGCCAAAGCAAATTATAGCTGTTCGAAATGAGATATGTCACACCATGTTCTTTATACACCGTGGAGAAGCAGAGGTATTTTATTTCTTATTCAGTTTATGAAATGTACATAGGGTCCTACTCAATTTATGTTGTAGAAACGATATTAAATACATTTTTAGTCTACGTTTTTATAAAATACAATGACAGTGACTATTTTTATGACGCAGTACATGATAAAATGGGTAATTCAAATTGTATGAACTATGATTTATGATATCGCAAGTGAACAACACATTATTAAAAAGAGAAAAATGAAAGCCAAAATAAAAAAAAAATTAAAAAAAAATGTATAATGCAATAGGCCTGTGTAATACCTTAATGAGGCATGCCAGGAATAGTCAATATCTACGATAGCAGAGGCCTACATATTTTTTTTTTACTGTAGTTTTAGAATTTTTTTTCTGGATAATATGCACATAGTAGTCCGATATTTATTTTGGTGTAGCAGGGTTTTTGCGTCTCCATTAACTTCAGCGACACATGGACAGTCCTAGACTAATTTTATTTATTAATTTGAGCAACAATAACATTAGGCCTAATACTAGGAATGAAATGAAATTAAACGGTAGCCTGAGATAGAGGCCTAAGCATAATGTTTCAGACAGTAAATGAAATTAAACGGTAGCCTGAGATAGAGGCCTAAGCATAATGTTTCAGACAGAGTCTGGATGCTGTGTTCCGAAACATCGGCAATGTATATTCTGCCAATTTATCGATCCAGTAACCTCAAACACGATAAGCAGGGCACATGCAGTAACCCAATAATTTTGCAGTCAGCCTGACTGGCTGGAAGCAAAATTGAGTTACTGTAATAATCATATGTAAATTTGGGAGTATGAACCAACTTTCCTTTTTGAATGCTGCCATACAGACTGGTGAATAAAATTCTGGTGAAAACTGATGCAAAGTTAAGTCGTTTCGAAATGATCTCTGTGTAATCCTAGTCGGTACTCAATTTCACTGTGTGGGAAAATTAGGTTTTGCACGTCAAAGTAACACACCGGGGCGTCATGGTACAGTTCAGAGGAACAATCCATGGCTGCTGCCATTCACCAGAACACCTATTTTCTGACGTAGGCATAAACATTATGTTTTATGTGAAATAATTGTAAATAGAGTTGAATGACGTTCCTGTCGTATCATGAAATTATGTATTCATAGAGGCCTAAGATTGTTATTATAAACGAAATAGTAGGTCTATGGTGTTTACCCTAGAAAATATTAAATATAAAAACTATTTGCATCTTTTGGAATCTATTAAATTTGACATCCAAACCACTAGAATTCGGCGAAACCCCGGACCCCATCGTGGCGTTTTCCCTGGACTCCAGGGGCGGATCCAATAGGGGGAACGGGGAAATATGCTCCCCCCTGTTTTGCCACTAAATTTTAAAATTTCAAGGCATATATTGAAATTAGCGCTCTCACTTATCTATTCTGAATATGTTGTGCCCTCCCGTTAAAAAAATTCTGGATCCTCCCCAGACTCCACCGACGCTAGGCGGGCCCCGAGACGTATTAGGTCAATCAGGCCATTGATGATCCTCTATCGATCAATGGTCGTTGACTGATGACCGATGGTTGATCATCTTTTATCGATGATCCTATGTTGATGGTTGATTATCTTTGATAGATGGTCGATGCTTGTTGATATGGTCGACGATTAATGGCCTATGGTCGATGATCGATGTTTGCTGATCAGTAGTAGTCGTAGCTCGGTGGTCGATGATCGTTTATTGGTGGTCGATGATCGTTGATGGATGGTCGTTGACCGATGGTCGACAATTAATGGCCTATGGTCGATGATCGTAGATCAATGGTCGTAGATCGGTGGTCAATGATCGTAACTGAAATGAAGGGTGAATAAAATTAAAATAAGGATGGTAGGCCCTATTAATGATGATGGTGATGATGATGAATGTGGAAATAATATAAAAAATAACCAATTAACAGAATATTATTAAATGATAAATTAAGTAATTTAATAAATAAATAATTATATGTTCATTTTATTTTTCATTAAATCAACTTGGCTAACTACTGTAGTACAGTATGGGGGAGAAGCATGTGAAGCCACTTCCTGTAGCCTGACCTTTCTGATACTGAGCTACCATGGATATTATATGCACATGTCACTGCTTATGTCAGCTATTATATAATTTCAGGTTCTTTCGCCAGATGATGATGAAACGAGTATAACTCAACTCCGCCATGGCAGACTGTTTGGGGAGGTATGTAAACGTGTGAATGCAAACTATTCAGGGAAACAAACACCCTCTTATAGGACTACACACACACTCTATCTCAAACAGGTTATGATGATCACACACACACACCTCACCTGTTACTAGCTTGCCTGTAGGCAACGTACATCGTAGATTTAAGGGCAAGTCTACTTCAAATAGAGGTCTATTGGTTGCGATGTTGTCATTGGGTGATGGTGAAGTTTGGTGTTAGTATTATATTTATTTATATACTACTTACTTACTTACTTATTTGAGTGTGGGTACTGAACTATACTATAACTGAACTGGAGATTGGCAAGTATTTTTTTTCAAACTTGGAAGAATAGAATATAACAATAAAGAGTGAGGGGTTATTGCAAATGGAGGTTGTCTTTTGGTTTGTTTGTTAGGCAAGACCATGTCGTAGGTTAGTTTTTGCCCAACAACAACCAATTCAACCAAACACACCCATCACAAGGAAGACCGCCCACTTGTAATGCATGATGTAACGAGTCTGTCGAATTCAGAGCCAATTCCTTTATATTTTGTGAGCATTTCTGTTTTACAAAGTTGAATTTATGCAGTTAAAATACATGATGCGACAAAAAAAAAAAAAAAATTAATCAAAAAATATAAAATTATTCCCGCATCAATATTTCCAAAATTTTTGATGCGGGCGGGAGTGATAATCTAATAAATTTTTCTATTTGCTCTTAGTCTATTTTTGTTTATTAGCAGGATTATGCAAAAAGTAATGTCACCCTGACACTTGCGTGATTTTCGTTCCCCCAATGGCGCGCACTTCAGCATGTCAATGATTGAAGTCTTCGGGAACGAGCTTGAGGAGAATGTGAAGGGTGAATGTTCCTGCAATGTGCGTGACACATGTGTGAACCATGCATGAACACTGCCGATATGCATTTCAATGCTCTTGCTGCTTTTTCTCCTGCTCTTCTTCGTGTCGTGCATAACACTGCAAGACATTATGGGACAATATCTTACGGTAAACTGGAACAATGCGCGAACAATACTTAGCCTATAAAGTAGTGCGATGCGTGCCAATTCAGCCCATTTTTGGCCACGTATTGCATAGACAGTGCATAACGTATGTGTGTACAGTGTATAAACAGGCATCAAACAAGGCTTCACGCTCCGCTGCGTACCGCCTAAATGGCATGCCTTGCCACAACACATTGCGCGGCATTGTGGGGACAAAAATTGTGCAAGTGTCAGGGTGGTATTATACAATTTCTGTGAAAGGTTAAAGGTCAGTGTCACGTAACAGGGCTGGCGGAACTTTTTTCAATGTAGGGGGAAGGGGGGCTCACTAGCATTTCTTTCCGATCATAAAAAAAGTCTGCATAGACATTATATATTTTCTGCCAAAAAGTAGGGGCCCGGCACAGTTCCACCGGCCATGCATAAAGTCGAAAAGTAATCATTAGGAGCTTTTGATTTGAGATGGCGTAGAATGTACATCCAGTTGCGGCTCCTAGGATACATTTTCTGGGGGGTTGGGGGGAGTGGTAAGCTATCCGACAGGGAGGCTTGAGCTTGTATGACTGAGTAGGGGAGGGTTTGGGAATGGGTGTCCCCCTCCCAAATGAGATTTTTTATAAAAATAGGGACCTCTGGATGACCCCTTGTTTACAGATTACTGGCGCCACCCCTGCGTACATTATTCCTTGTGTTCGTGACATCTTTGTATATGCGTCTTGAAATATCAAAATCGATTTACAGTAGAATGTAGAATGTGAATTTGTTTACGTTCTCGTTCTACAATCTCAAACGAAAGCACCCTGTTATAAAATGTGGTACATGGTCTATGGAAGAGGGGATTCAATTTTGAGTTGGAGAGGATTCAATTTCGAGTTGAAAGGGCCAGAGGTCAAGTTCATGAAAAGTACCTTCAAAGTATTATGTAAAACTAATGTTTTCATAAAATTTAGTGTCTAAATTAGAACTTGTTGGAGGTTGTCGAGTAATAATACAAGATGATTCAGGGAAGAGTTCACAGAAATATTCTAAAATCAGAATAATTGCCAACCTAGAAATCCTATGTAGTTGAAAAATAATATGTGATGTATTGAACGAGATCTTGCTGTTGCTGCTGTTCAGGGTTCCTCAGTGCACTGTTGAACATATCCCTCCTCTAAATTCTTCCACCTCTTTCTGTCTGAAGTTTCTTTAAACCAATATTTCCTGTGTTTTGTCAAGTCATCTCTCCATCTCTGTTTCTGTCTTCCTCTTTTTCTTTTACTTTCTCATTGTATCCATTCTGTTATTTTTCTTGTCCATCTATTATCTGTGGTTCTGATCACATGACCTACCCATCTCCATTTCCATTTGGCCACTTCTGACATGACATTATTCCCACCTGTTCTCCATCTTATTGCTGTACATGGTATTCTATCTATAATCCTTATGTGTAGCATGTGTCTCTCCATGTCTTGTTGTGTTACCATTAACTTTACCGTGATTTTCTTTGTGAGGTGCCAGGTCTCTGAACCATATGTCATAACCGGTATCACACACTGATTGAATACCTTCCTTCTTAAACACATTTGGATTTTACGATTTTGAAGAACCTCTTTGTGTTTACCGAATGCCATCCAACCCAATTTTATTCTTTCCTTTATCTTTCTGTCAGCATTCTCCATACTTGTTGTTTGACCCAAATACTTGTATTGTTTACTCTCTCTATGACATCATTTCCTAGTTTCAATACTGCATTTGTGTTGAAATTTGTCATGTACTTTGTTTTGCCTCTGTATAGTGTAAGGCCTACTTTCTTGCTTTCTTTATCTAATTTGTTTAGTTGTTTTTACATTGATGATACTGAACTCGTCACCAGTACAATGTCATCCGCAAACTGCAGTTCAGTAAGTGTATCCCCATCTATATTTATTCCTTCATTAAGGTCTGCTGCTTCTATCACACTTTGAAGCGCTGCTGTGAAAATCTTTGGGCTTAGGGAATCACCTTGTCTGACACCTCTTCTGATGTCGACTATTTTTTATTCTTGTTTTTCCATGTGTACCCTTGCTTTAGCATTTCTGTATATTTCTTGTAATACTTTAATATAATGAGTATTAAACAAAATCTTAATTAAAAATCTTAAAACAAAATCTTAATTATTAATTATTATTATTATTAATTTATTATTAATTATTAATTAAACAAAATCTTAATTAGTCTATATTCAGTTGAAATTGAATTCATAAACTTAAAACAAAAATTATCTATTTATTAAATGAAAGGTCAAAGTAGTTTTCTTTAAGTAACCCTTTTTAATCTATTCTTGTTAAAAATGAATGTGTTATTGCATTATTCTGTCTCATGTCTAGACTAGAGACATAGATTTTGAAAGATCACATTTGAAATGATATGTTTTTGTTTTAATGTGAATTGGGTTGATGACTTAAGCGAAGTTTACTGTACTTGACTTCATCATTTATTGATATTGTGAACACATTTTCAACACAACATTTAGAGTAGTTAAGACTTGTTTTGAACATGAAAGCATGATTGGAAAGTACCATTACCAACCATATAGAGATGTTATAAATAGAAATTGCTCCGCACAGGCCCAACCATAGTGGCATTAAGGTGTGAGTGTAAACAGCATCCTTGCCCACAAGTTTAATTGACTCACTGCTAATTAAAAATTTTTTTGAGAGCCCCAGATGTACACTTTATGTAACCATTCAAATGCATGTAACAAAATTATCTTATAATTGTACATTGAAGAATAGAACATAAATATTTTTGTTTCATTACTTAACTTAAACTGAAACTACATTATGTTATTTTAATCATGTATATAGATTTATAATTATTAATTAATGTATATAGATTGAATTGAATTTATAGGCCTAAAGTTTGGTGTTTATTTTGTGTGTGGTTTGATGTTTTTTTTGTATTTATATTTTTTCCTATTATAAACTCAAAAGTATTTCATCTTTTGTTGCATTTTGAGTATTTTATACCAAAGAAATAAAATAATAATAAAAAAAAAAAATTAACTCGTCTTATCTGACTCACATGATGACCATCCACAGTTTCTTATATTATGCCTACTAGTCTACTAGTGGGCTCTCTTGTGATTTAAATTAAATTCTTAAAATGTTGATGGTACATATACCATATGTACCATCATAACACCTGCAATACAAATACATTCTATCTAACTAGGTTTCATATCAGATTCTGACATTGGCGACAACCATGTCTTCTCTATTCTTGCTGCAAATACATTAAATGTTGTTATGGAACCAATAAAACCTGAAAAAAATGTGCATGTCGTTTAAGGGTGCAGGTGCCAGATGCTGGGACTGACTCTCCTTGAATTACAAAATGCCCCAAGTATTAACAATTTTAAATTGCAATATAGATTATAGTTTAATAATCCTACAATCTTTGCAATATCTTTACATAGTAACCGAGTCCATTTGAAAAACAGTGCATAAAACTCAAATACTATATTGGATTTAATGCTACTTAATGCTATTTAATGCTATGTATTCCTGGTAAAATATGTTGTAAATAAATAAATAACATATTTAGTATAAATATAATAATAATGTGGCCTCTGACATATGACATACTGTATGCATTTTATTCCAGTATCTTCTGTTAGGAGCTCCATGAACTGAAACTATGCTATACTAAAGTGAGATGCTAGTTTTATCAAATATCTACTCTACATTGTAATGGTCATATGCTAGAATATCACATCATTGGTTATAGAATAAAAGTAATAGGAACAAATATTAATTATATAAACAATACTGTACTTATATAGTGCTGATTGTGGATCATGGTGGCCATCAAAAAATATATATTTATGACAAATGTGTTTCATACAATAAAGTTAGATAAAAAAAAAAAAATAAATTACAGGTCTCCCTTTAATTCAAGATTTCTTTGTTGTTCATAAAAGGAGATTTCTGGCGGGAACATTTTCATTTCAATATTAAAATAAAAAACTTACATAATAAAAACAGGTTAAAATTTTAAAATACTAAAGTACAACTTACAAAAATATACTGAAGACAATAAAATTAACGACCCATCAAAGAGCACCTCCAATTAAAGGATCACTTTTCTTTGGTCCCAATTTAATAAATTTATATTATCTTTATTATTCTAATTATTAAAATTGCTAAGGACCATGGAAACCCCAGTCCCAGAAGTGGTCTTTAATTGGAGGGACACCTGTATGTCATTATTGAAATTAAAATGGATTGATGGTACATCATTATTGTTAGATTAATTATTAAAGTTACATCAATAATTAAATCTTCATATTTACAATTTTCAAAGGTGAACCTGATCTTCAGCATGCCTCGGACACACAGCATTCGAGCTGCGGCACATTGCGATCTGATGGTTCTTGACAGAGCAGACCTGCAAAATGTACTCCATCACTACCCTGAAGGTATTACCTTTTGACACTTGTCTTTCTTTTTGCTCATTTTTATTAAAATTCAGTAGAGTAGTGTGATACCTTTGCTAGAGGCTTAATGATGTTTGTTGGGAAACTGATGATACTAACGGATATGAAAACCAGGGTATAACTGTTATGGTTTGACATTTACGAAATGCGTCTTGTCTCAGAACAAACTTCTTGATTGGTTGTTTATGATTCTGCTGCCTAATGTTATGAAAAGATGGATGAATTAATTACAGAAATGATGTATAGGTGGCTAAGGCCATGAACACATTATATATGATGGAATACATTATATATGATCAAGATGCCCAAAATGTGCAATAGGTATAAATACTAGGAGGGGATGAAAAAATGAAGTACCGTAACAAAATTATGTGAGCTCCAAAAACCCATTTTTATACTAATTAAATTGAAATTCTGAAAAAAAATTATGCATCAGTATATTATACCTGAATCATGTCTTAATATAATTGTATTTGAAATGTATTACTATTCAGTGGTAACATTAAATATTGTGTTTATTTTGAAAATATCAATACATTGGCATCATCTCCCTCATTAAATTACTGTAATAGAAATTTTAAAAAGCAAGTTGGTAGGAAGACAAATTTGTGGGCACATAAAATATTAAGCATGTTTCCCCTCAATTTTCCTATATTTATGGTATTTTATTAGGATGTCAACTGTTTGCACTTATTTTTTAATAAATTTAAAAATCTCACATTTTGTTGTCTCTAATGTTATTTTGTGAGATTTGGTGCAGTTTCCCTGGCATGTTAAAACTGTAGAATATTCATACTGAGATTCTTTTGAATGGCTCAAGCATTAATTGGAAATATGTTAGCAATGTATGATATAAAAGACAATGCAGCGTAGTAAAGAAATATATTTTAATGAAATTACAGATTAAAACACTATTTTAAAAATGTTGTTTAAATACCAAATTCTGTCAGGTTTTTTATCTTCAAATGTCGTATTTGTGGTTTTATTTTTTATTTTTTAGTAACACGGATTCACGGTATTCATCTGACAAAGTTACATTCTTTTATTTTTTGAGTTATATCATTTGATATTTGTGGGATGTACTTGAAAAATTTGGTGAAAAAAATTAATCAGAATATCGCACAGTCCATTGAACATGGAGTCTCAATTGTCAGTTTAATAGAGCCACATACTTATGCATACAGCTATAAATCTTGGAACAGTTTCTCCTAGATTCAATTGATTACATTTATAGCTATCACACTTTTCCCAAGCCTTTAATTCCTGGTTGGATTTTTAGATACAGCTTTTGATTGTGATGTGATTTGTCTTGCGAATCACAGCTTGATACAATTCTATTTCTTATGTTTAAATATATTGTCCTTATAACAACAATTTGTATTGTGAAGGACTTGTGAACAATTTAATTAAAAGAAGTGCAGTATATTTTACAGTATAATTTTAAGTCCCCCTTTGTACAGTATTCAGTTTTACTTTCCTTTTTGCAATTTTAAATTTGTTGGTCATTTAAATTTTAAATTAATTTTCTTTTTAGCTATATATTTTTTTATTTTTGTCTGTTTCTTGGATGCACCATAAATTTTATATGAGTACCACTGTATCAAAAGTGGATCAAATAAATTGATTGATTGATAAAATACATTATTATTATTCTATTAATAATAATATAAAGAATATATTACTATTATTGTTATCATTATCTGTATTATGGTTATCGTTTATCATCGTTACTACCACTGCCGCCACCACCACCATCGCCAATATCAATATTATTATTGCTTTGCTATAAATATGCTATCTTATATGACTTCAAATAGATCACATTTTCAGCCCCATTGCTGCTGATATAAAGTCCAAGTTATGTTATATTGAATTTGGTTCCATGGTTATGTTAACAAGTACTGTCATAAGTTTTTTATAGGAAATATTTCTTGTTAAATCTGCTGCGACATAAAGAGTCAGCATAATGAATATTAATTATATGGTAGAATTTCCATGCACAAATTTACATCTTCCGCCCTGATGCATTAAATGACAACAATTTTATAAGTGTGAGGAGTACATGTACAGTAGTTGATGGCACTTATGTTGAACATAAAAATTGACTGTACATGTTTGAAATAGTGCTTTATAGAGTAGTTTTTTTTAAAATAATAAATCAAATTTCAGGCATTAAAATGACCTCATTTGATGTCAGTTTAATTCTGTACAGATAAAGCTTATATATTAAGTGAAATGGCTGATGTTTGTTGATGTTCAACAAAATGCAGAACTTTAGATTGTAAACAGAATATTTCCTATTATCCTTACCGTACTAGATTTACTGGAATCTTGAAGACAATCAGCATTCCAACATTTTATTATTATTCTAAAAACTATTTAAAAAAAATTTGAATACATTACCTATTATAATTTGAGTGTAAAAAAAACATTTAAAAACCTAATTTATTTCTGATCCCTAAATATAGTATAGTGAATTTTATTACAATTACTTATAATTAATTTATACTCACAATGATCTACAATTCTTTAAAATCAAATAAATCAGTTGTACATTTGATTATTATTTATTCATTGCTATATCCAACTGTTTATTTCCATTCTAATAAAGTATACTCCTATTATATCTTTCTAGACCTAAATTCCCATTCTTGAATGCAAAGTTAAACATTCATATGAAAATTAGTGCTATACCCTGGGGCTTGATGAAGGATTTGACAGTAGGGGGTGCGTGAGATTCCGTAGCACCTCAGCCCTAGCATGGTTGGGGCTGAGGTGATAAAATTTTGAGAATATGAACCCGAATAGGTGCCCGGAAATTGCACTTACATTCCAGATTAAATTTATCTTCATATCAACAATTTTTTTTCTTAATACAATTTAGGGGGTGTGATTGCACCGTCTACACCCTCCTGAACCCCCTACATCCGCCCCAGATACCTATGATTTAAGACCAGATAAAGAATTTTCGTCTAGTGGTATGAAGACAGGCATCGCTTTTCATAGAATATTGGTGCAAATTATTTAATAATTTAGAATAGTAGTTCTTGGATGACCCATCGTTTTATGATAGCAACGTAGATGTTGGAACTGCATTGTATGATAGACATTTGATCAAACGTTCGATTTACCAATTGTGTTGTATACTCAATTTAGTTCAACGTGTCTGCAATTACTTCATTGGCATTCAGTATACTTATAATATAGTAATTGTGTTTCTTGCAACATAGTATAATGCAATTTTAACATGTAATGTTATTTTAAATAATTTAGAATTACAAAAAAATAACATTATTACTTGGATATTGAAAAAACATTCAACCTGGTTGTGGTTACCATAGTAAATATTTTAATTAATAACCAAAACTAGGATATCAGCCATAAGAAACTACTGTAGTTTACTTTCTTATGACTGATATTAAAATAGATATGACTGAAAATAAAATAAAAAAAGTCTATCTTGGAAAGTTTGTCTCCATCAAATTTTGCTGTGTAAATGTTTGCAGATCCCTTTTTTACCTGATTGAAGATTGAATAACGAAGATGATAGTGATCGGACAGAGAGGTCGTTAGTTCATGACTGGATGTCAATCAAATTTGTAGGAAACTAATCCCTGTTATAAGTCAAATCTGAAATTAATTAATATTTTAAAAAACTGACAGTGCAAAAACTGACAAATCGCAGAGTGCTAAGGCTAGGAAATACAAATGGAATGCATTTAAAATTGTAGGCATTTGTTAATACTGTATTTCTCTGTCAAATTGGACCCTAAGGTAATGAATGATTTAGGAATTTGATGTTAAAATGCTGTCCATAATAATTATTTTAATAAACTATATTTATCTAGTAACAACAAACTTTATGATATTTTTACTTATCAAAACATTAATTCTTTTCATTCTAAATTTGGTTGAAATTTATTATCTTTATAAAGTTTTTTATGTTTAATTTCATATTTTAGTTCTTGTTCAATGTGAAATGCTCATTATTATTAAATTATTAATATTAAAGTATTATGTATTATGAAGAATAAAATGAAAATATTTTTCGTATATATAATATTGCTAATTTTCAGCCTTTTGTAAGCGAAATAGTCTCCCCATATTAAGCCTAATGGTAGATGCTGTATTTATCTGGGAACAACAAACTTGATATTTTTACTAAATAAAAATTAATTTCTAAAATTATAAATTTGGTTGAAATGTGTTATCTTTATAAAGTGTGTTATATTTGATATAATGTTTTAGTTCTTGTTTGTGAACTGTTCATTATTTTCAAACTGTTAATATTAAAATCATGAATAATAACATTACAATATTCTTGGTATAATGTTTTAAATTATCAGCTATTTGTAAGCTTTGATGAAATATTCTCATACCATATTAATGGTCAATACACAATAGTGTTAATTCTGTTTGAAAACTTGCAGCTATTTTAACATGAGGAGGATACAGTATAAGGAGCTTTTAAAATAAGCCTCAATACCATTGTTAATACACTCAGTCTATTTTGAGACACTTCTATATTAATCCATAGGAATTATGTTGATAAATTTAATAATGAAATTTGTACCCAGTGAGATATTTTAGATTACTAGAAAAGAATTATGTTTCAAGGATGAGTCTTACTGTAATTTTGTAGTTGAGTATTAATTTGTAATTAAGCTCTAAATTATATTTTAAATGGATTGAAATAGGATATTATTGAGATATTTCTCTTTAACTAGATCATGTCATTCTGTGTGATTTTTAAATACAGTCCCAATATCTAGTTTTTCTATTTTAATTTATCTTAAAATCTTACTATTCTGTTTACTATGCACCTGTTCCTTTGTTATTACAAAAAAAGTCTTGTACATGATGACTTGTACATCAAAATTGTCAGCATTATGTAAGAAAAAGGTTATATCGCCTACTGAAACGCGGCACTAATGCTCTGGGGAGTTTAAGGTGTGTTGATGATAATATTATCATTTGGTATTACATTGCAAGCATGGTGTACCGATACTATTCACGATTGTCGTATAATTTAACATAATGTCTGACTTGTTAAATTGTGTAGCTATTCCAATGATAGTCTTAAAATGAAGAGATAAAAGAAGAACTGTAACATGCAATTTCAAACAGATGTTTGTAATATATTATATTATTTATTTTCTCTTTAAAATAACAGAAATGATATGAAGCATTGCAGCAACATAGCCAAATTATTATTGTTAATAAAATTTGCGATAAGTTAGTGGCTTTCTAAAAGATAACATGAATTGCATTATACTGTATTTCAACAATTGGATTTATATTAATATAAATACTTAATCATATTAATAATAATAATAATATTTATTTAGACATGTACTTCTAGAACAGTGGCATACTTTCAAATTAAAGGTGTGTCTGTACGAAACCTCAATATTTTTATTTGAAGACGATTGAAGCAACTCAATCGAAACGTCGAGATATTCTCAACCAACAACAACAGTTTTATTCAGAGCTATCTACGCGGTGTACCTCAAGCATTAATTTATAATATTTTTATACTTGGTTCATGCTGTACTGTTTGTCTGGAGTTGTGAAAAATCCCTCAAACACAGATCGAATCAATTACTTTTGACTACAAACATCTTTAAAAATTCATTGGCAACCATTTTTAGTGTGTAAGCATAGCAGCTATATTGTTTTATGTAACTGGTCAGAAAGCTATAATCTCATTCTAATTTTCAATTGATGACCTTGGATTTCAGATATCAAATTTGATTGTTCAAATTTATTAACTTAATACAAACATTATGTTTAATTATACAAACATTATTGTTCACTATTTTTTTTCTATAACAAAAATTTCCTGCCAATTAATATAAGGGGAGCTGTTCTGGGTAAAGACAACTTGATAACTTGCCTCGAAAAAGGTATCCATTTGTAGAAGTCTTAAATCTTGAATTTTTTTTTTAATTGGATGTTAATTATAGACACATTGTAGACTATACATAGACCAGCCTATATTAAAAACACAAAATGTGTGTCATTTAATAAATAAGCTTAATGATATAATGTAAATATTCTGTTAATTGTGAATAAAATTAACGCAAATTATGAAAGAATATTAAGGGTGAATAGGAAAGAAACTCGGAGCAGCTTAAATTGTGTACCAAAAACTATATAATAATGATAAAGCTCATTACTATACTTTACGTGTTTGTATCAAATTCATAATATAGTTCTATGATGATAACCTTTGGTATCAATTCAAATAGGTTTTATAACAACCATATAATAATTGCATTCATACTGCCCTTGAAATATAATGGATTGTGATTGTCTTGACATAAATATGCTGCGGTATATTGTCGCTTTATTTTTGCTTGTACCTCTTGAGAAAACTGTATTTATAAAGTGTAATAATGTTTTGAAAATATTCTTTCAATGAGAAATTATATTTTGCCCATATTTTTGTTGGGTGAGAATATAGGTGATTCATGAATTGTTTTAAGGAGAGACAAAGAATTCACTTAAACCTGTTAATTTTTATTAATTAGAAATAAAAAAAAAATAGGGAAAATTAGTAATTGTTTTATTTTTTACATTTAGAATTTGTACTTCTAATTTAACAATAGGTATTTTTCTATGTTTGATTTAAACTTGTAGACTTTCTGTGATTTTCAACATTTCAGTATGCCATGAGACAAGTCTTTACAAGTTTATTATTAAGTACCTTTGTTCCTCATGTATGAGCCCATCATAGGTACTTCATGTCCAATTTAACATTACAGTGTTTCCTGGACAAAAATAATGAGTTGCACATTTGAATAATTTTAGAAAGAAATTAAGACTACAGTAGGGTTTGAATTTAGCATGAACTGTTGAAATATTTCCTTTGCATTCACCATCCTTAAAAATTTAAGGATCATCATTTTTTTTTGGTGAAAAGAGAATTTCCCAAGTGTAAGTGTACCACCAAAAATTGGCCATATTTCATGTTCAATGGGGGTAGGCTGTTACTAGAGGAATTATGTTGTATAAATGAAATATGTTTAATATATTTTGTTATTGTCTCACCATATAGTAAATGTCATAACCTCTTTGCTTTAATATAGGCAGACATTTTATTGCAAAATAAAATTATTATTACATTATTTGAAGATGCGTTTCGTGTACCTGCTTGAATTTCAAGTAGATGCTATTACACAAAATTACATTAAATGACTTCTGTGATAACAATATTCTCATTTAAAGGTTAACTAATAACAACCTTGGAAACTGAAATTAACTTATTAAAAACAGAAATTAAGTGCAGTGATGTCTAAAAATAATTAGTTTGAATAATAATGTTTATGCTGCTGAAGACACTCTGTGCTTTCGTTTCTTAGAATGTAATACCAGTTCATATGTATTTTCAGTGAACAATACCACATTCATGTCAATGTGTCCAGTAATAATATTAAAAGTTTAATATTATTAATATTATTATTATTATTATTATTAATTATTATTATTATTGCTGGTAGGACTGTCACTAATGTACTGTATGCAGTTCTGCATACAGTACATTAGTGACAGTCCTACCAGCAATGCAAACTAAGGTCAACTTTAATACTATTTTTATTAATTTGAATCAGCATTTAGTACTGTGGAAGGAATGTTTTCTAATTGTAACTGGCATGGTAGATTGACCATTATTTATTTTTGATAACTAGGTGATAGGGCAAAATATAATGACCATTATATAGATTGCAACAATGATTGATTAAGAAGTAGTTTTCAAATCTAGGGATTACAGTTGACCACAAAATGAAATCATGAATAAGTATAAAATGTGACCGTTAGTGGATATATTGTATTTTAATTATTACTAAAAATTATATAATTTTAAAAACTTTAGGTTACTACACTGTTTTCAGTCAGCTTAAAATTAATAATAATTGGTTTATAAATAGGGTTACATTTTATTTTTTCCAGTGATAAGGTACATCTGTACTAGTACTGTTTAAACAAAATATAATTATGAGATTGCGAAAAAACAATGCTCTATGAAATTGGAGAAAAAAGAACACCACCAAATTACAATCGGTATGTTTTTTTCTTTTCCCATTTAATAGTTGCCAAGAAGCTACAACAAATTGCAGAAGAGCGTTGTGACGCTGCAGGTCTACTGGAAGACCGAGCAAAGGCTGGCGAGGGCATTATACCTGCTTCAAAGAGCATGAAAAGATTATCTATCATCAGCGCCCAAGTATCTAGTAAGAAGTGGTGATAAAATGTGGATTTTGCATGCATAATTTCTTAATCTTACCGCATAAACACGCCATTCAATATATAGTGTTATTTTCAATCCTAGCTTATATAGGCTTGTTTTTCATGTTGTCATCTATGAATTGGCAATGAATAGTTTATATTAATATTTGTATATGAAAACCAAATTGAGTTGAGTTATGTTGTAGGGAACAGAAGATATAACTTCATTTTTTATATAGTCTATTTATTTTTTTAGAGACACTTTCTGTTAATAATTTAAAATTTCTAAATAATATTTTAGCTGAAAAAAAAAAAAATCTTACCATTTCACTTCATTGGAAAGCATGCAATTAAAATGTAATAAGGAGAACCTAATATTAATAAAATAATGACTATTTCTCATAGTATTCTTATGTCAATTTATCTAGATGAAAAGTATTCCATTAATATTTTTGTGGAAAAGAATAATTTTTCCAAAGAAAAGTAATCAGGTGGAAATAAACATAGCTAATTGTTACTAAAAAATTTTTACTGTGTAATCCTATAAACTAGCATTTTAATGTACTGAGTGGGTGTGGGTTAAAGAATTGGAAAGTAGTGAGCACAGTTATATACAAGACTCTCAATTTGATTGAGAGTTTTGGATGTAATTGTGTTCACTAAAAGTCCTTGCCCACATTCAACTGCCAGAGATATTTGATTAGGTGTTAACTTGCATCATCACTGTTTGACAGAGCTATCTGCCAAGATCACCGGTAGACATGAAGTGCATCAAGCTGTTGATGCCTTAAACATTGAAGAGGCTGGCAATGAGTGGGTGGCAGTACATCGTGGGACCTGCAGATCTGTAAGTACATACGCCTTGTGTGACCTGTGTCACAAGTACTAATCTCCTAATGAGATTGTCTAAGTCGAGCTGAGCATTTGGCCTAAAGATAGTGTTCCTACAGTACCTGAAGACCCCTCAAATCCAGCTAGTCACATTTTTAATTGGAGTCAATCACTTGTTTCCTTGAATAACCTTTGCAAGAGTTGGGCTGGATAGGAACATGTGCAATTAGCGCCACCGCTGGTCTTCAGGTGCTCAGCCAAGTTACAGTATCTAATTTCTAATTCCAAATTTGGAATAATATACAAGAATGAAATATAAAAAAATTTCTCAAAGTAGATATATGTTGATTATGCTAAACGAGGGTCCAACTATTATGAATATTTATAAATGAAAATTTTGTTTACCTTATTTATTATTGATTATTATTAAATTAACAGTCTATGTTATAATATAATCTTGAGTGAGTGAACATTTATTTGTTTACATTGGAAACATCCTGAGCTTTTTATTTTTGATTGGCTGATGCAACATGTAGTCACATTAACATAATGTAACTTTAAACTGAATGGCCGTTTGAATGCAATGGACAAGCCACTTTAACTACTGGTACACTAACACCCAGTGGCGGCTCTAGGATATATTTTCTTGGGGGAAGGGGCTGAGCTGTTCAGGGACTTGAGCTTGTAGGCCTGAGATGGAGGAAGGGTTTGAGAGGGGGATTTCCCCTCCCAAATGAGATTTTTTAAGAATAGGAACCTCTGGATGTCCAGAAATGACACCCCCAGACTGTGACAGACATGTGTTTGCTTAGTGTGGGCCTATTTTTATATCTTTTTTACTCTGACTGCCCGGCGAGCTCTGGTTCCCCCCCCCCCTTGCTGGCACCGCCACTGCTAACACCACATACCTAGCACTACCACCATAGATAGAGTATATCTAGATGCTCATCTTATATTGGTTAAACAATAATAGAACTGATATTATTATCCATTAACCCCTTTTATACACGTTAATACTAAATTAATCTTGCATCTTATTGTTCAAATGAGTCTGCTGGGGCCAGAATAATGCAAACCAATAATCATCAAGAGGTTTGGCTTTCATCTGATAAAGAGGAATAATGATATCATTTTGCATACAACTCTAGATAAGTATGCAGTTAGTTGTAGGCCTTGATGGCTTAAACCACTGAGCTATTATTATAGCTCCACACTTAAAATCATCTTCCCTGTCAGTGTAATGATTGAGCTGATGAGAAAAAACCAACATTGTTGCAAACGGTCCCAAATGTCTCTTAACTTCAGATATGCTCACTTCTGTCTGACAGTAGCTTTTAACATATGCTCTACCAAGGGCTAACTGCAGTATTAAAGCATTTTATTGCATATAGCTGCCATTCATGTAACCATTAAGGCCTCGTAGAGCTGGTTTTAACGCAATCATATGCGCTATATGAAATATTACACTTTAGTTAAATAGGGAAAGTAGTATGTGAAGGAGGCGTTATTGTTGTTATTAGAGGGGCTTGTAGTGTAGAGGCAGAAACAATATTGATTTATGAAATGGATTAGATAGAATTATTTTTATTTAATATTTTTTTTTTTTATTAAAGCGTATTGAAAAGCAGATTGAAGGTGTGAAGAGGACATTCTCAAAGTGCATTCTAATGCCAAATTCCCGCTTTGCCAAATATTGGGAACGACTGGTCCTCCTGATAACGCTGGTGATTGTAATGATCTACCCATACGTAGCTAGCTTCTCTGGTAAGTCAATGCTTTATCAGAAAAACAATAATCTCGTGGTAATGTCAAGCTAGATTTCCAAACTGCTGTGTGCAACCACAACAAGAATGATTTAAGGCCGTACTTGCCATTTGATATATGAGAGTAATAAGGCCAATTATTGACTACATAAAATCATGTCACAGAAACTGTCACCCTTATATGTTAATTATCTTATGTAATGACACAAATTTGAGAAATCTTAGAAGCTGTGAAAATAGATTCCTGTAATATAGAATCAATTAAGGAATGTTTTTCAATTACAAAATGACTTAAGGTTTCATTAATTGAACATGCAGTTTGTGATATGGATATTATATTATTCATATCATTATGTGAGCTGAGTAGTTGATTAAACTGATTATCTATGGATATTGTTTTATGTATTCTATAAATGTGATTGGCTTGCTTGTTGCATAGTAATTTTGTAAATAATCATCATCATAATATATATCAGTGATTATCATATTTCAATCAATTTTATTACAGTCAGTAGCAAATCACAATGGCTTATATTGCTCCAAGTATACATATCTATCAATATTGAGCAAAGTGATAAAATATAGTTTAAGCTTTCTATTCTTCAATAAAACTGTTGTATTCTACCTACAGGTATACATGCCAAACCAGAAAATACATTCTGTTTAAAAAAGTATTAATGGTAATGGTAATGGTTTGGGACTTGTAAAGCGCATACTACATGGTCTCTATGCGCTTAAGTTACACAAAAGAAAACAAACCAAAAACTAAATCCTAAAGTCTAATCAATAATATATATTAATACATAGTAACGTAATATCACTATTGTTGTTCTCGTTACTGTCAGTATTGTTAAATTATGTTAACAGTTCTCATATTTGGAAGATATGATTTATGAAAATTCTTAAAATTCTATTCAAATATTATATTGACATGAAGATTGGGTTTCCTTGCTACAATATCAAATTTACAAAAATGTATCAGGTGTAAGTTCATTGAGTGCATTTGCTAATCATTGTCAAATATTCTTTAAATGCTACAGTTCATTTTAAGCCCAAACACTTGCTTAATACTCAAATCATGTGAATTCCCCCTCCCCTGTCTGTCATGGGGTACCTGACATATTATTCTATCTATTAACTTGTGGTATCTGGTGTCATTTTCTATTTAATGTAACAAAATTAATGTTGTTGCACTATGATGGAGAACAGTAATTTCTATCTAGTCTAAATCATCACCAATTATCATCATCATCATCGCCATCATCATCATCATCATCATCATCATCATCATCATCATCATCATCATTAATACTGCTTGGGTTTTCTTTAAACTCTTTAAAAAAAAAAAATGCTGCGATAGATAGACAAACAGCGAGATACGAGAAATATTAATGTTGATGACAGTATTCATTATTTTGTGTTGTCTTCCCCCAATGATCTATTTGGTAATAACCAAAGGTAACACTGTAAAATATATTATCTATTCTCAAAGGTTAATGATTAGTTATAATAATATGAAGAGATTTTTAAAAAGAGTGCTCTTACAACCACAGAATGCTGATATAAATACAAACATATATTATGATACAACATATTTGACTTCCTTCTTTGGTTCATCTTAAATGTCAAAGGCTATGCTAGCTCATTTCATTGTAATATTTTTTGAATGTGACCCAACCTGGCTCAAAGTTAATGTTTATATTTTAATGATTCCATCTCCATTGGAAAGACAAAACAATTACAATTTTTTCTGTGGAGTTAATAATTCACGTTTTATTTACATTATGTTAGTTAACTACGGTATAAATAATAATGAAGACCTTCAGTTAATGAAATAATATTTTATGATTGTGTATTCATGATGCAGTTATACAAAGAAATAACAGTCGGGCCAGAATACAGTCCTTGTGTATGTATCAAGCTCTTTGGTTTTTTATTGCTACGTATCTAATTCATGGATTGTGGTTGATCTTAAATTTGTTGCTGCCTAATTTCCTTGTATTGGCTTTTCTAATTTACAATTGAGATGATAATTGTTTCATGAAATTGATTGCTTGATTAATTTCGATGGATTGGATTAAGGATATAGGCGTTATAGCTTTCTGTGAGTGTAAACGTACAAACATGTACGGCAATGAGTCTGGTGTTTCTATTTGTGCATGGCGAAATAATGCTACATAATATCTATGGAATAACATTCATAATGACAATCTGTGTGTGTGAAAACCCATAAAATTACCAAACATACATTATAGGATACATTGTCACAACATGTACATAAAGTATGTGTTAATAGTAATCTAAACAAAATAAACATTTTTCATTTGTTCATATACAAATACAACAATTATTGTGTTAAGATTGATTGTAGCTTCTGTAAATATTCTGTGTAGGTGATTTCCTATTGTATTTAGTGTGATTGCTGTGAAGTTGTCTATATATGCAAAACCGAATTTATACTAATTGATTTTGTTTTATTTGGAAATAAATAATATTTGTAGCTAACAAATTGTTTGTTAACAAAAATATATAAAAAACATCCAAAATAAAAGTATCTAACAAATATGTATTAGCTGCATACATCAATATAAACTATCTAACAAAAAAAGTTATATGAACATCAAACATTTTATTGGGATTGTATTCCTTGATTTAGTGTTTCTAACAATGGTATGTGAGGATGTACTGAGTATTCAGTGCTTCAAAAAAAATACAAACTATACTGGGACTATACTTATATATAGTACTGTTGAGTAGGAGTATATATTTTAACTTTTTTGTAATATGGTCTTCAAATTCAATAAATAAATACATAATAAGCAAACTGAGTGATTAGATCGATAATAAATAAATTGAGCAAGGTTTTTAGAATTAAGACTAAATTTACATAATTAAGACTATGAGGTCATACTCTAATACTATGTTCACATTGGAATAATTATGGTCACATGTAACTGGCTACTTTGAAAATAAAATTCAGAGCAAACGTTGACCAGTGTAACATTTTTCTTGGTCGAATTACCCAAGACACACATCAAGTTTAAACAAATGAATATTGCCTAAGAAGAATAACCATTCTGTTTTTCTTGAGCAAAAAGTCTAATTTACAAATGATGCAGTTAAATTTTCCTGAGGGCATGCCACAGCTGCGTGAGCTTCACTGAACTTTTCACAGAATTTATCTGCGAATAAACTGATTAGGCATGAGCCAAATTTTACTAGCTGTCGTTTTGCCATGTATTGAAAAGTGTGGACGGTGGTATAGTTTGAACAAGGCAAAGTTACCCTTCATCTTGGTCTAAATTAAGCCAATGTAAACATGGCTATACAGTAGCTGGTGTAACCCATTGATTCTTCCAGTCAGCTAATATTTCTCCGTTTGTAATAACTAAATTACTGTAGAATTGTTACATTTATTTAGTATACTATTGGAGCAATGTGACAATTGAACACAGTTTTGTGAAACATGTTTAACACTGTCTAACTTTAAATTGAAGTGTCAGTATATCTTAACATTGATGAGTCTAGCCTTAGAGAAAACTTATGGTCTAGTTGGTGCCACAAATTCATGATAAATTATCACACATGAACATTTTTTTTTTTTGGAAAAGAAAATGTATTTATATAGTTGACAGTATATACAGGTATGGTACAATCATAATATCGGATAAATATTTTATCTGATATAATATTATATTTTTATTTATTTATTGAAGTATAAAACGACAAATACAAGCGGTAGCTCAAAGCTACAATGATTGCATAACAATACATATAAAATATAAATCAGTATCACCATACAGAACCAAATGTCAAAATGACAAATATCTCTCTGATATAAACAAGAATTATAAGAATATTAAGAATAAGTTAAACAAAATTCAATTACAATAAAAATATGATTTTACATATACAAAATAACAAAATGAATAAACCCAATATTTACAAAATTAAACTTTTTATTATAAAATGTCTGTTGTATATTACGAATATGAGTCTGTCATTATGTCATGAAAAGATGGCCTGTTGTATAAGAACTTGATAAGGCCGAATTAAGACTCAATTCGACTTGTTCATATTAATTTCAAAATCTTTCCATACATATTAATTGTCAGACTGATTGAAAGCACACAAGCCTTTTAGCCTGAAACCAAGATTGTAATTTCAAACCATCTGACTTTCAAATTATTTGCCTGCCAAAAATAACCCACCAGGTTCCATGTCACTTTAAAAGTGAATAAAAAAAGCTATTAATTATTTTGAACTTTTGAATTTGTCTTTCTGATGGCATTTAAAATTATTTACAGCTTCGAAAGTTAGAAATACCGGTAATATTCCACTACTTACGTGTTGCTACATCATGGACTTCATCCTTATCTGCGACATATTCGTACGCCTGCGAACAGCAGTGGTTACTCCAAATGGTAAGAAAAATGAGATTTGTTTGGCCACATGACAAAATTAATGATTAAATTAATTAACTCAACTCAATTAAAACAATTATTTAGAAAATGATGAAATAGTCAAGATATAAATTTTCTTAATCATAATACAGTACATAATACATTATGATAAAACAATTTCATCCATATTTTTTACTGAGAACCAATTTTTAAAGTGTAATTCAGTTTAACCATGTTAATTCCTCCTTCAAATGAGTTTTATTTTGTGTGATGGTTTGTGTAGGACATTTGTATGTTAAATAACTGTGTACTGTACACATAGTAATGGCATGAAAACATTCAAATGTCCTCTGTAAAACCATTTTGGTTGAAGCACACTTGGAACCTCTGCTTCATAAAGTTACACATTCAGATGTTTGTTATACACATGTATTCTCATAATGATTGATAATATTTTTCTTTGTATATAATCTCTTTGTTTCACTTGAGATTGTTAGCATTTAGCACTTGACTTTCGACAGTTTGATATCACTTGCTTCGTTTGTTTTACTCATCAATTACTTGTGCACTAACAGGAACTTATAAGGATTTTAAGAGCATACGTGATCATTATGTGAAGAGCTGGGGATTTGTTGTTGATGTGCTCGCTGTACTACCGCTTGACCTATTCTGCTTGTATGCACCACGTGGTTCAAATCCGAGAACGATTGCGCTTTACCGACTCCGTCTCAATCGCCTGATCAAGTATTGGAGAGTAAGTTGTCAAGTCCAGTGCACTATGAAGGATACATTTAATAAAGTATAAAATATCGAACAATTATAATAGCCCTAATATGGAAACAAAAACTGTTCATTTCCACATTCATGTTTGACAATATTGTCATGAACATACAAGTGCAAACAATGCATGTATTTATCTAAGGCAAGATGATTTTTATTCCGTGTTTAGCAAACCTGCCACAAGCCAATAACGATGAATTTTCAAATTTTATTGTTGGCCAATTGGTACACCTGTTGCCATGAAAACATGGACATTTCAGAAAAAGCATTACTACACTGTTTGCATTCAACCATAAAATTTTATTCTTATTTTCTCCTCCTTCCGGAGGCTTTTGGCAAAATCATTTGCTAAATAAGAAAACAACCCTCCTCTGACGACCTTTAAAAAATAAATTGAAACAAGGTATAAAAATACATGTGGTATATAATTTTATTTTAAAGATTTACAATCTGTGTTGAAATTAATAATTTGAAAAATAAAGTTAAATATTTTTAAATTTTGGGAAAGCAATTAGGAAAGGATTTGGCTTGCTTAATTTATATACTTAAGAACCTAATTTTTGGGGTTACATTGAGAAAATACTTTCTAGCTTTAGCTATTTAATACATGTTAGATCCTTTTCACAATAAATTATTTAATTTGATATTGCATCTGGATATTAACAGGCAAATGCATGCACCATATTTTGCATAACTATCAGTATTATTTTATGTAACCATAACAGCAAAATCTGATTTGCATATTATTATATAGTATGTAAAGTGGCAATCTTTTTCAGTACTCAATATTCATAAACTGAGTATATTTGTATGTGGACTAATCTACATATTAAATGATTACTTTTAAGATGAAATTATTTAACTAGAACATAAATAAATATTAAAATTCATATATCAATTTATACTGTTTATTAAGAAACTTCTTCTATAAGGGTTAATTAGTGATTTTTGGATAATAACTGTAAATCAAGGGTTTTGTGTTTTACCATGGTTTCTCATTGTTGTGGGTGTTGTTATAGCTTAGTATATTTTATTGTTTAATTCCAGGTACTTGATTTCTTCAAGAACTTGGAGGAAGATTTGAATGTGAAAATTGGAACTATACGCGTGTTCAAATTTCTGATAAATATCTCTCTGTTGTCACATTGGAGTGCATGTTTCTGGTACATCGTTGCCTGTATCACTGGCATGTAAGTTTGTTGCATAATTTTCAACCTTATTCAGTCATATTATTGCTGTTAAATACTGTTAACAAAATCCCAATTGCTATTTATGTACTTGTAATTGAAGTACATAATTCCCACAATAGCAATTTACAAACTTTGAAAAACAAAATGCGATTACATTTTTTTTGTAGATAAGTATGGAAATTACCCATTTGGGAGCAATTAATTTGACAATGAAATGCACTTACTTCAATTTGAAACTCTAATTTAAAATCATGTCTAAAAAGGATATTTATTATGAATATTGACTGCAACAGTCAACATCAGTAAACCCCTGCCCTAGACATACGCATGGTATGTTTGTTTGAAGCTATGGTATATTATGAATGTTGTTACTGGTATTTAAATAACCAGCCACCAAGACATAAGCCAGACTATTAGTTACTTATTTTGACTATCTAAACCTACCCCTAATGCAATTTGCAAGCAATGCATAAGTACCTAAATTGTAGAAATGTAATGCTCGATATTATTTAATTGTTAATAGCTGATTAGAAGGAGACCATTGTTGTGTCTACTTTGAAGATAATATCTTGAAGTAATAACAACACAATTCACAATATAGATGATGATAATTGTTGTACATATTTTTAAATGATAGTATATAAACAGAATAGATTCCAGATATCAATTTAGAATGAGTACAAATACCTGCGAAACCTCATCAAGATAGCTAATGCAGGGCATTAATATTTCATCTTGCCGCCAGTTCTAATGACATAAGTAATGGATTACAAAGTCCTGTCTATCAAATACATTTTACTATTTTCTTAGAACTACAATATTTTATACGTTGTAAATGATTGAAGGATTTTATTGGTTTTCTCAAGAAATTGATCTTTATAATTTAATTCTTCATAAATCGATGAAATGGATGTTTGTTACAGTTCGGACAAATATCATACAAGCATAATAAACATAGGAAATATACAATGGTAAGATAACCCAGAATAAACAACATAAAAACAGATATATATATATATAGAAAGGTATATTTTTTATTTTTTTTGTTCTGCCATCATTGTTGTCAATGCCTAGAATATAAAAAAATGCCCAGAATATGAAATTGAAAGTTGTTTATATAAGTTTAGAAATTATATTAACATTTTTTCTAATTCAGTTATATTTATTATATTAACATTAAAATAATGTTAATATAATAAATGTGATATATTTTTTTATATTATATATCATTATTATTATAATTATTTAATATTGACTTATGATCAAAAGCTGAAAATATTAATTAAACATTAAGATATAACAGTTTATTATTAATCTGTATTTAGCTATCATTTTTTAAATTATTTAAGATTTTTTAACGTTTTACATTATTTAAAAATAATTTTTCTGATAATATTTTTACTGATTGAATGTTTTCAAATATTCTGTAACGGAAACATATTTATGTGATGCAAAATGTATTATGTGCACAATACGTTCTGTTTAAGCTACCAATTTAATGTAATCTTTTAATATGAAAGTACAATACATCAGTTCAATTTAACGGAAAAATTATTCATTTGTGTATATTTTCAGATTTTTATAAGTGAAGTATTTACTGTTAATATTTAAAGTTTATACCCCCCACCCTTCCCAACAAAAAAAAAAGAAGAAAAATATGTGAGCTTTGTGCTTCTTTCAGATTTTCAGATTGTATATTTTTATTGGGAACATCCTTTTATTTATCAGTGGCAACCATCACTTTGACAGTGTACCCAAAACAACACATTATAACCAAAATATAAAACTTGCACACTATAATGTTAAGAAAAAACAAAATGTGACTATAAAGCATGCAACTGATTTTCCTTTAGAAAATTATTGAAATAATGCTATAAAATAATTACTGAATCAGTCTAAGTATCGGTTATTTGTAGATTTTCAATATATCTTACTTATAGCTTCTGTTTAAAGAATGTGACCTTGTAGCGAGACAGTGGTTATTGGACCTGGATGTTGATGTGTGATTTGCAATGCATACGCGAGAAGAAGAATACAATAATAAATTATAATAATTATAATCTTACATGTTGACTGTAATTGGAAATAAACTTTGTTTGTACTGTGATTGTTGTTGAGGTGTCTGTTGAATACTGATGGCTAATTGTGGGTATGAGGAGGTGGTTGTTTGGGGTATAGTAGCACTGGTTGTTGAGTCATAATTTTTTCTGAACACAACCTTTATGCCTCAGCTTGTTTCATGTTTCCAAGCACACTTATCAATCAGTGTAGAATTACCTTTGGAGATGGCAAAACAAAATTTAATTATTCAATTACATTGATTAATCTATCAGTACTTAATAAATATATACCAGCACATCCATTACTAGAGGTATCGTGTGTATCATTTTAACTTTAATCGATCATTCTATCAAATAAAAGATAATTAAATAAATAAATGAATAAAATCAATTAATCATATGCAGTAAGCTGTGGTATTTGCTACTGTTGTTTTAGTTTTCAGTATGAATATTCCTGTTTTTATATGTTGTAATTATTCATTCACTCGTTGTTAGTTCATTCATTCAATCATTTTGTTTGCCTCAAATTTAACCAACAGCAAATACAATTTACCATTGTTAGGAGGATTTTATGAAACATGGCAATTAAAGATCAAACAATATATTTTTTTACCAAGTGGAGTATATAAACTGAAATATAAAAGATAATTAATGCAAATTCAAAATTGTTGGCCATTGAATCAAGCATGTAAATTTTATAAATATTCAAAAGGGAATTGTGGCATCTATTGCTGTTCTAATTATTCATAATTACACCAATGTTTATTTTACTAATTACAATTCAGTATGTGTATTGCACTATTTTCCCATAGGATGCATAGCACCGATGAAAATAGAGACTCATTGAAAATTTTTAAAAGTCTGAAATGTTAGGGAAATGATTCTTGCAGTGCAACATTGAATTTTTACAGAAATTGTAACCTTTGACTACTGTCATTTAATAATTATTGCTGTATAATTTTATGGTAATCGATTGATCCATTCATCTAATTATTAGCCAATTTATTAATCAACTGCCTGCCCAATCAAGCAATCTATCAAACAGTCAATCAATCAATCATTCAATCAGTGGAATAATAGTGGAGGTTAAGCTTGTCATCAGATCCTATGGTCCTGGATTGAAATCTTGTAAACGACCAAGATATTATTTTATCACAAAAAAAAAAAAAAATTCTTGATTTAAGCATGGTTTTACATAGTATCAGATTGCGTCATTCTATAATTGACAAGTATATTTACTATTAGACATGAAAGAAAAAAAAAAACCCCAACTCATCCATTAAACAAAATTAATGGATTAATCAATCACTAAATTAATTACATATTGATTTCATGAATGATATACAAATAAGGAATGGAATGATTGCAGAATATGTAGGCTATTAAAATGTAGGCTATGGCTACTCCTCATGTAATTAAGTTTGATAGTTGCAAGTTCTTTGAATCCTAATCTAGTGTTATTCAAAGCTTCTCAGAAAAGCAAAAAAATGCTACACAAGTAGTGGGAAAACATGCCAGACCTCTGACAAGTGCTGTACATAGTGAAGGATATAGAGGCATTATGTAGTATTCAACAAAATTATTGCTTTTTAAACACATAATATTTTGATGGGTATTGAGCTTTCATAGTTTAAGTACTGCTTCGGAAGTTGTCAGTTTCAGCATGCTTTAGAGTTATGTTCATCTTCACATATAATCCATTACTTCGAGGGATTCATACATCAAAGTCATGTTGCCTAGATTTTCATAACTTTGATTTTCAAAATCAAGATCATCTTTCTACTTTTGTTTGTCAAATGAAATGAAGCATATTATAGTCAAAGAAAATATTTAAAAATCCTGCTAAAAACTTACATATATTACTTTTATGAAATGTCTTGCTCTTTTGATATATTGAGTATAGTATGAGGAATGTATTAAAAATATGATAAAAAATATCTATGTTCTTGATTTGCCTGAGGGGCGGATACAGTAGGGGACACGGGGGAATGTTCCCTCCGTTTTGCCACTAAATCAAAAATTTGTTAATGCATATCAATGCTATGTGCTTCTCATTTATCTATTCTGAAACTGTTGTTCCCCCTCCCCCCTCCCCGTGTTTTGAAAAATTCTGGAGCCGTCCCTGTACCTGAAAGTGGGAGTGTACTGATTGTGAATTGTACAAGGCACTGGTATACAATGACTTTTCCAATTTTGTGCAAGTTGTTTGTACATAGGCCTGCTCTATTTTTTAATCATTGTGAGTGGGTATGTTGATAATGATCTTCTTACCATGTGCCTGAAGTTTTGAATAGGACTGTGTCAGTGTTCCATTTAGAGAATAAACTTTCACCTTATTATTAGGAGAATGAACAAACTAATATAGCCTTCTGATTATGCTGATTATGTTTTCATGAACATAAAATATTTCTATTCTTGTTTTCCCATATTTATACACATGTCCTTTCTATGATGTTTGTTATTTTTTCCTATCAAATAATTTTTTATGCCTTATTTTTTTTTTGTACACACATTCCACCCATTAATAAATGAATGTAAATCTTTATATGGACGATTTTCATTGGCTTTGCTGGCTTTGCATGTTTCCATGGTTAATTTTTTTTGCATAATTTGCAACTGAAATATAATATGAATTGAATTGATGATTAACGGTTGAATCACAACCAGTGATGTGATGCAAAGCTATTGAAGATGTTTACTACAAATGCAAAAAATAATAAGTGGATACAGCTGTTGAGAAACAATATGTATGGTAATTTTGTCAATAATGGTGTATATTTTTTATGCATTCTGTGGATATGATGAACATACCAATTGTGATACATAGTACCATCACTTTTATTATTTTTGTTGCTATTATTGTTATTGTTATTGATAATTTTTATTATTAAAAAAAATGTATATATTGTCACACAGTTATTGCCTTTTTAATCTAGCAATTCTCAAACTATGGGTCACGACCCAATGTTAGGCTGTCAAATAAATTAGAGAGTCATAAGACTTCAGGATTGAAAAAAAAATTGAATTTATCTATCTGAATTTGCCGTATTAAAAATTACTGTATGTATTCTAAGTATCATTTGAATATTCTACTTCAGTTTTGTTTGCCAGTTAGTGACCTATTTTCAATACACTATTTGTTTTTAACAAGTGAAATGAGCTGCGTCAAATTGTCTGGTTTTTTGTTTGGCCACAGTCGCATATCTATGAATCTTGAAATGGGGAGGGCTGATGGGGGGTGGGGGGCGAAGGTGAAGTGTTGGGTGTCGATGATTTGGACGTTAGCTCCCAAACTATGGTAATTTTAGGTGATTTTGAGCAAGATTTTTTTACTCCGAAAATTGTCACTGTGGTGGGGGTGAGTATTTTTTGAAGGGAGCCTGCCCCCACTTCCCCAGATATGTTACTGTTTGGCCATAAATTTTTGAGAACTGCTTTTCGATTCTAGAAAAATATGTTTACTTTAAGAGTAAACTGGGTATTTCCTCATTTTTGAAATTATATTAAAAGTTTTTTCTTATGAATATTATAAATAATGGTCAAACTAAGGTTGATTCTTAATAAATTTTACAAAACCTTACAAATATTTTTTATTGACTGAACGATTATGCAGCAACTAATAGTTAATGAATTTATTTAATTTTTTTCTCTTTTGTCTTTTGTTTTAAATTTTCTTTCTAAAGATGTCGTATAGATTTGTGTCCATCTTCAAATGGAACTCAGTTCGTGTTCACTGAGCCAAGCGACAGGTTTGGCAAATTTCTGATCTTAAATGAAAACAGTATATCGTTTGCATGCTCTGCTTATAATATATTGCACACCTGCACTATAAGCTCACTATAAGCCACACCCAAGCACGCTTCTCTATGTATGCATGATTTATTTGAGTGATTGTTTCACGTTTTTGTCGTAGATTTAGTAAATAGAAAAATTCTGTGTGAATCATTCTTATACCTTTGCTAATATACAACTCAAATATATTTTATAAACCTAAATTTTTACCATGTAACTCATTTTGTGTAAAAGGTTAAATGTTGATTATGCATTTTAGTTGCATCCATGCATGCATATTTGTGTGATTTCTCGTATTTTATTGCTATATATCAGCCCATCACTTCTTTCTATATTTCTAATATGGGACTTTATTCTAATTTATGCAACTCTCAAAAGATTGCGCTGAATAAATAAATAATCAATTTCTTCTTGGTTTATTTCCTCTGAATAAATGATCTATAGCACACTGTAAACCACAAGTTAAGTTTTGGTATTCTTTCCATAGACAAATAAACACCACAATGATGGAACAAAGCATTTTATAATAGGGGTATTATTTTGTACAAAAATAAATGATACAATCTAATGATATATAACAGATCTTATTTAGCATCATTAATTAATTATAATTAACCAAACTAATTTATTAGGTTGTATTTAAGCATCATTTAAGCATCAATTATCACTGATAATTCAGTATTTTGTATTTACTTAAATAAATACAATCTAATTACTGGTAGGGTAAATAGGTGTGTGATAGCTCTTCAATAAAAGTACCCCTATTATAAAATGGTTTGTTCCATTGCTGTGGTGTTCATTCCTACTGGTATTTTTTCCTACTGGCATTTTCTTGGTTACACCTAAAAAAAAAACAGCACTGCTTCTTTACAGTGCGCATCTGCTGTCATGGGCTATCATATTCAGTACATGTACTTAGAAATTGCCCATGAAGTATTCAAGGACTTGCAAATGGTAATGAGCAATCATTGTAGCAATTATTAAATGTGTGTTGATTAGTAATCTTGTTCAGAATCCTAATTAACCACAATGTTCATTTGTTTCTTCATCTGTGATACACACTGTTGTGCGTTCATTAGTGCTTCATCAGGCTCCTTTTTCCAGAAGGCATGGATTATAGATTCTGGCGCATTTAACCTACAGAGTGCAGTTTATGGTTCTAAATGCTGTAGGCAAACTCTATGCTGTGTTTATTGGAAAGCACTGCTGATATTTTCGAAAAAGATTGAATTACTCTTGACAAAACTGTCTTCTGTCATACTAATAATATTTTATGTCAAAAATTTGCATGAATTTCTTATTGAAAATACTTTAATTTAATAGAATGCAATTAAACTTTGTGTGTTACTGTTTTATCATTGTCACTTTTGTAGATGGTAGTAGACTTAATATAATATTATACAGTAGAGCCTCTCACTTGGAATATCCCTATTGAGGGAACACCCCTATTAAGGGGTCTTAAGAGGACACTTTTTTGGCCACAAATTAACATTATGTCCAACCCCCTTTCAGAGAACATTCATATTAAGGGGACACTGTGTTGGTCCTGAAGTTCCCCTTAATAGGTTTGATATTGTATATAAAAAATATACGCCTATGTTTCTATGGTTTGGCTGAACCCTTCTTTTCTGTGGGAACCCCTCTGATAAACCACTCCTACAAACTATGACAGTGATGATGAAATTCATTATTTAAATGCAAGAATACTTAAATTCCAGGGGGTTTCACTCTCTTACCCTAACAAGAGCTCTTTTTTTCTTGGCCTATACGAGGGTGCCTATAAGACTCATCGTAAACCTCTGTCTCTCATAGGAAATTGAATTTTAGAAAAGCCATATTTTATAAATTATTAATTTTAGAAAACATGCTGTTTGTAAGTAATGTAAGTGGATGTAGCATGCACTGCTGTGAATGCTTTTGTTTTACTTGGCATGAGATGAAAATTTTCTATTCATGTCATAGTATAGTTTATGCTTTCCCTTAAAATCTGATTTAACCTGGTCTAAAATAATGTATTAAGAAAATTAGCATCACAAACAATCATCAAATAGTAATTCACATATATGTTTCTAAAATATGTTTTAAATTTTTCTATCAATGTAGTTGTCAGGAAGGTACATGGGTGGATCGAGCTAATGCGTCAACCCCGTTTGAGGAGTATGTGACCGCTCTGTATTGGGCAGCAGCAACAATGACCAGCACCGGATATGGTGACATCAGTGCACACACAACTGTAGCGCGCTTTATATCCGTGGTAGCAATGCTTGTGGGCTTGCTTCTTTATGGTTACTGTTTGTCATCAATTGCTGCAACATTAGCAAATGCTGATGCACCAAGGTAATTTTCATCAGAGATTTCTTTATGTTTAGGTACATGTGACAAGGATTTTGAAAAGAGAGTGTATCGCTTTTAGAATGCTGCGCAGACACTTACACTTGCACAGACATTACAGAAAGTAAATTCATCACATTCATGTACAGTACATTTAAACATACTTTTATTTATATACATTTATGTATTTTAAACTTAATTTCTCAGTATGTGTACTTTGATCAATGCCAATGTCATGTGTGGTTCAAAAAGGGAGAACAACGTTCAGAGATGCTAGACAATAAAAATAAAATACTTTGGACACAGCATCAATGTAGTCAATGTAATAATTTAATGGTTATAATCATTGGTTGGCTTAGCCAGCGAGCCGTCCAGTTGTCTTTTGGATGGCCAACAGTTCTTTATTACGGCCACTTTACCGTGATGGCTTAGACAGCTTGGCCTAATCAGCTCAGGCTAGCCTAATTCGGCCTGGTACCTTTAGCAAATTCTTTATATTCTTAAAACTGTCGAACATTACATGATTAAACTAAACCTAAATCATATTTACGTTTGATAAAAACAACCTTTATTGATTGATTGATTGGATGTTGTTTTCATACCAGTATTTTGTGGGGATTCCAAAAAATGTAAGGCTTAACTATTGCTTATCCCAGTGAAAAGTTCACTTACAACACGTGTCGTGTTAAAAACATTTATACCCCGCTGGAAATTGGACGGTTCTGAGTCGCCCACAACGCATGCACGTGGCTCTGCTAATACAATAATTGAGATTTAGTTCCCCAACATATCATTGTTGGTGTTCGTATCTCTCTGGTTATAATTAATTCATGAAATACCGTAAAGAAGATTTGTTGTTAACGTCACAAGTTAAATTTTATTAGTCAACAAAATACAGTATGTCTAGGCCTATCTTTCGATTCAAAGGACCTAAAGTAGAATTTACACGAGACTAAGGCGAGAGATGAAGATCCATCTGCAAAGCTTAGAAACATTATGTGAGTAACCGTAGCTGTGCGTAATCTATGTCTATAACTGAATAGTGATAGCTAATTCAACACTATTCCTTTGAAGACAAAATTCCAACATTTAAACACCTTTAAATGCTCTCTAAAAATCATAATTTTCTATTTCTTTTCTTATGTTTGAGAGTGGGCATGGCACGACCATCAACTCATTTTGGATGGCCTGTTTCGTTTTTCTGTCTAAACCCCTGCTGTACTAAATCCCTTTTGAGTAATGCTTACACCATTGGCATTGTAGAACGTAAATATTCATTGGATATTTGAGCAATGAATGCTTGTTGACTGAATTGATTATTAGAAGAAAGACATTAAATTATTTCATTTTATATTCATTATTGTATATGTTTTATCACCAACCATAATAATACTACCATATAATGAAACAGGAGATTTTGTAATATCAGGAGTGTCAGTTTCCTCCCTATTTGTATCCAAAATGTATTGTATACCATGCGTGTTCCCCACATTGTTTTGTTTCTGTCTGATTATTTTGAAATGTTGATGATTATGATAACGTTCCTTTGGGAACTCTCAATCTGTTTCTGCGGATCTAAATGCAAGCCTTCCATACTTCAACCGCTTTAATGGTGGTGAATGATAATCTAGCGTGATAAGCAATATGATTGTATCACAATATGTGGAGTGATTGCTACTTGCTGGTGTCATTTCTCTTGATACAATATTATATTCTTAAAACTGAAGATGCAATCTCTTAAGTAGCTTATTTGTAATTGCTCCCAGTTGATGAGTTTATTGTTTTAGGAAACTTAAAGTTACACGTTTATGTCTATGGAAGCTGAAATGAAATGCAAATAATGAAATGCTTTATAAGAGATGACAGTAAAATATGACTCTTCTAATTCTTGTGTAAGAAGTAGGTTGTTGGTGCTAATTATTTAATTTATTTTTATTGAATGAATCTAACATTCACCAAATTAGTGACTATTTCTGTTAGTGACAATTTCTGTTGTAATTAATTAACATTTTCTGTTTTAATTAATTACAGCTTTCTGTTGTTTTTTTTTGTAATACTTTTAAACATTTTTTTTTACATTTTTCCTTCATTACTTTTATTGTCATTTGTATGATCTTGTCTCCTTTTGAGTGAATTATTGACATTATACTTTATTTATATTTTTACAGTCTTCTTCCAAGCAATACAATTTTCTGTATATGGACCAATACAATTTCTTGATGACTGTGGAGGGGTTTTTTTAATTCAGATTTTTAATTTACTTCAAATGTACAAATTATGCTAAGCATTTTCAATGTGGATTATTTTTAAATTTATTTTCCTCATAACATAGTACATCTTTAAAAACAAAGTTTCTATTTAAATAAACAATTGAATAGCATGGGAAATCAAAGAATTTTTTTTAGTCACAAATTGTTTGTTTTTCATTCCAAGTTAATAAATAACGTATTTGGTAATTTTTAAATAAGCGTTCATTTTCAATGCAATTTTTCAGGATTTTTATATTTTACCACATGCTATGTGCAATTTGGTGAAAGGATTTATTCTCAATGGAGTAATTGTTTTTGCTATATTACTTTTTCTTTCAAAATGCAAAATCATTATCATATTGTCAACCATTACACTTATAAACTACGTATCTTCTGAGCACCATTAAATAAGCTTTATTGTGGATATTGGCTTTATAAAATGATCTATTTTTCTATCTATCGGGTCATGTAAAACTACATATAGTGGTGGTGTTAATATTAAGAAATAATGTGATAAGGCAGGACTTTTTAAATACTTTGTTTAGCAAAACCTCAAGCCACCAATAATGGTGATTTCGAATAAAAAGAAAATTTTATTTTTTTGCCACAAAAAATTGAAATTTCAGAAAAAGAATTTGTTTTTATTTATTTCCATTATGCCCTTCAAAAATAAGATATATGCAGGTATTTTCCCCTTAATTATATAAATTTAAAGCATTTATCAATCTTAATACTAAACTGTTTACATTCATCAATTTAATTTTATTTTTATTTTCTCCTCCACCTAGATGCTTTAGCAAAAGAATTTAGTTAAAAGAAGGAAACAAAATTTAATTTTAATTTTTTTTCTGCTCTCCTCTGACGAACTTGAAAAAACAAGTTCACTAAACAAGGTATAAAAAAGATATAAAACTTCTAGTCAATGAAGACATGCTTACTCCATATCCATAACCAAATAGCAATAATTCTCTAAATAATTGGCTTAATTCTTTACATTTAGGTTAATTGAGATCATTTTGAATTTTGATCAGGCAATAAATAAATGAATGATGTCAATGTTTACAATAGAACAAAAGGAGAAGACAAACATCAAGGTAAAAGGCATACTCAATCTATAATATATGAAAAAACAACAATTTAATTGTGATGAAATATTAAAAATACAAAAAAGTTTAAAATGCATAATAAAAACAAATTGCTTTTATAGATATAAGCACAAAACTGAATTTATAACAAAAACAAGAAAATTTACATTTATTGTAGTAATCAGAATCATGCTTTCAACATATCAGATGAGACTAAGAAATAATGCATCATTTGCAAGAATGATTGTACCATGGAAAAACAGAATAAAAAGCTATACACCTTCCCAATTCAAGTTATCCTATGTTATTGTAACTTTGCTATATAAAGCCTCCTTAACCAAATTCAATGGTGTGCTGAACAAATTCAACATAATAAATTCACCATTCAAGATAACATTGCCATAGTCAAGATGATACACATTCAACTGTACATTGCAGTGTTACTCAAAAGCCACTTTCAGACAGAGCTACGTTACCGCAATATTTGTGAAATTTTTCCAGCAATGCCTTCTGTATGAAAAGGTGAGAATCAACCGTTACCGCAGTATTGGGGTTACATGGCGTTCCATCTCAGACCTATCGCAATATTGCCGTTATGATGTGTTCTGGCATGTGTCCGAAATGAAAGCAAGTCTTTTTCCTGCAATATTACACCATTATTACTTTATTCAGTCTAGATATATAAAAAATAGGACAAATGTTGAGATAAGGTAGAAAAGAGTTGTTGTGATAATGGTGAATTTGGCAGATATCAGAAATTTGCCAATGCTCAGGATAATCAAATATAATAACTACACAATAAAAAAAAAGCCCTATTGTCTTTAAAACTCATTTATGTACTAGTATTAGTTGGGAAGTAGGGATCTGCCTACATTAAAACACAGCAAATCCTCAAAATCTAGGCCTGCATGTGTGTGACTGGCTTATTGCATTTTTTTTTTTTGTACAAACAACATTACTAGAGTGTAATCCATTCATACGGAAAGGTGTTATATTAAGGCAATATTTTCTGAAATATTTGTTTGGTATAAAAGGGCGCATGCCGATAAGCATACTGGCAGCATTACCGTAATATTGACACCTCTGTCTGAGAGTGCCATGGCTTTAAAGGAACTTTGAAAAATGAAAAGCGCCATTGTCTGTATCCTGCAGCTAAGTTTTTCGAGTCGCGTGTGCTAGATTTTGTAAAACACAAAAAAAAAAAAATGATCATAAAAGAAAATATTAATTTTTTTTGTACTACATTTTTTGTTTAATTTGAAGTTTTACTTGCTGTCTGGACATAATTCTCTTATTTTTTGTAAGTGTATTTACACAGTGGCCTATTTTGTTTTATTAATCAAAGTATAAATTAACTGTGAAGACTCTTAAATTTGTTAGTGTATCCACATTACAAACCATTCGGATGAAAAGGTGTTCTATGGAACGTACCAATCTAATATGGCTATTTTGACAGGACTATCAATTGATAATAAAACCTTCATGTGCAATTTTTTTTTTCTCAACAGAGTTGGCTTTCAAGAGAAGCTTTTTGCTGTGCAAGAATTCATGCAAGATCATGGACTAAGCTCGGAACTAACACAACGTGTAATCAATTACCTTAGTCTAGTATTCAGGAAACATAGGTACGTTGCTGAAAAATAGACACAACTCTGCACTGCAGCATTTCAGCAAACAACTATATATTTATATATACCGTGACAAATTTTAGTAAATAAATTACCCAAATATGCGCATTGTTTTTCTGATCCACTATCATTCATAAATGACAGAAGCGTGGGAGCGTGTGGTGCAGCGTGTAAGGTGTTGTACTTCTGATTGTAAGATTGGGAGTTCGAGTCCGAAGCTTGTTGCATTACTTGTGTCCTTGATTTGATATTATTGGGTGTAGTAATTTATATTCATTATAAGTAAAACAAAAATAGAAAAGAATAATATTACGTTGGTCTTGGCATCAAAATATTAACCAGTGTACAATGAATAAAGATTACATACCTAGGTAGTTAAAAAGTTAAAACATGTATAAATGATTATTTAAACCGCCCCCCCCAAAAAAAAAAAAAAAAAAAAAAAAACAAACACAAATAAAATATTTATTAAGATATGCTTGAAGCATCTTTAATTATAATAATTCACTTGTTAAAGAAAATGCAAGATTGTGGCTCCCAATAAGATTCATATTTGTTTGTGTTTGGTTTGACTTCAGGGGAGAAGCGATGCCTGGAGGTGAACTGCTCATGCATGACATGCCAATACGACTTCAGCAGGATGTCGCGTATGAAGATGCAAGGAACACCATTGGACAGGTCAGAAAAATAACTATTATCTAAAACTTTTCTACACTGTAAAATTTTGTGACAAAATTGTGTGATGTGCCCATATATGGGCATGATGCAGTGATGGCGCCAGGACCTGCCCGACGGATAGTCTAAAGGCCACGACGGGGGCGGGGGGGTCGAGCTTCAATTTAAAGGTTTTGAAAGTGGTCCAGGGAGCGAAAATGTTGACAATTTAGGGGTTTCAAAGGCTTATTTAATTAATTTTTGGAGTTTACTAATATGTAGAAAATACAAATAATTTTTTTTTTCTCCCCAACGAATTGTGTTTTTCTCCCCGACGGGGGCCCCCCCCCCGGTTCTCCCTCTCCATCTCTGGCACCACCCCCTGGTTTGACTTTTCTTCACTTGATGGCAGATCTCCGCACATTCCTCTGTCCTGGGCCAACTTCGTCTTAAGCCCTTTGTCCAAAGATATCCAATGACTTATTACCATATTTCCTGGGGTCTGTCCCTATTTTGTACACCGACATCATCCATGCTCCTGTATCTATTTGCGCATGGTACCTTCCTCCAATGTTTCTATTGACTCGGAGAAAAATAGCATTCTTTGTGCACATTTTAACTGTATACGAATAAGTTAGTAAGTACAGCTAGAATTGGGTGAAGTGCTAAAGAATTAGTAATGAAAAAATTACAAGTGATGTGAAAACTGCTTGGAATACGAGGCCCTGTAAATTGGTAGTTGTGTTGTTTTTACCTGTTTATGTCATTCTCATAGAAATCTGCAATGATAGAGATATGTAAATGTTAGTAGCAAGGCAGTAGCTTTTAAGATATACAGCTACTCTGTTTCAAGATACTCTATTAGGTGAAGATGATAATGCCAACAACTTTGCTAATATTTAATTTACCTTTCGCATGATGATGATGATGATGATATTTCTGATAAGGATTGTGTGTTGAACCACTTATCATTCACCTGAAGTGCACTGATTGCAGGAGAAAGTGTGTTATAATTTATGGTCTGTAAAGTGCCACTTCCTTTTAAACAATGTTGGTATTGTTGATATGGTAATGATGATTAGTTATGGTAATGATGATGATGGTAGTTATGGTAATGATGATGATGATGATGATGATGATGATGATGGTGTGTATAAGGATGTGGATAATGATAGTGATGAACGTCATTATGATAATGGTGATGATTATGATTATGAATATGATAAAGGTGGTAATAGGGATGATGAGACTGCTGATGAAAATCACCTTCATCATCATGAAACCTTGAAAAAATTATAAATTATTATAACCTTGATGCTGATAATATTTTGTTCAATGATGTTCATTTATTTATTTTTTAATTCAACAAATCTAGATTGCTTGCTTAGTGTAGAAATACTGGTTCTCATTTTAGTTCATTTCAGTATATTGTAATTGTCATTTGTAAAATTCATTTTACATAGAAACACAAATAATAACTAGGTAACAATATAACAATATCAGGTAATAAACTATCCCCGTCAAACACTATCCCGGTATTTCTGAATCAGGGTTTCGGGGCCTGAAAATTGAGATTGTGATTGTAATGGCTTAAACTACTATACAAGGTAAAACTATCCCCCTGCTGAACACCATCCCGTTATTTCTGAGTCATGGTTTCAGGGCCATAATGATTCAAATGTTAGGCTTAACTACTATGTTAGAAAATTATCCCTGATGGACATCAAACCAGTATTTTGTTTTTAATTTAAAAAAAAAATTAATTTAGTCAAGATTAATTGCATAGAATATAACAAAAAAATATATAAAATGGAAATTTATTCTCAGTAATTAACTCTTTCTTCCTAGATCTATATTCCAATATGAAAGCATAATATGATTATTTTTGAGCAATACATACATATTCATTAATAGGAAAGTACAAGTCCTTGAAAACATTTGTAATATTAACAAGTCTCTCTGCTATTAAGATGATTCCATTTTAACAAATTTATGATATTAATGGGAATGTTGATGATACATGAGAGCAAAATACTTCCTAAGGTATTCAATGGAACTTGAAAGCTATTACACAACTAAATGTAGCAGTTGATGATGACAGAGATATTGTAACCTCATACATGGGTTTGGGCAAATGTGGTGTTTTATTTCTTTTTTCAAATGACATCAATTCATTCTTTTTTAAATGTATTTATCATGTGCAAGGAAGTATTTCCTTGGTACATCTATGATACTGGAGGATGATGGTGGGTGGTAATGTAAGAGGTGAATCTAGGATATACTCCGGGGGGAGCTAAACTGTCCAACAGGTTTTGACAATTTCTGACGGAGGCTAGAGGTGTCCACTAGGGACAAAGCCTTGGTGGTGATGGTTAATTTTAGGCCATTTTAAGCTGTATGCCCAAAGAATTAGAAATAGGGAAATTGTTTCCTTGTTTTACCTGGGCCTTGACGGGGAGCTTAAACCCCCTATCCTACCCCTGCGACGTCTTTATTCAATATGAAGAGGTTTACTCAGTGCTGTTTATCACAAGAATTATAGAATGCTCTTTGGAATTTTAACCTTAATAGTATTGCAAGTATTACAAGTTGACACAATTGTATGTTGATGGGGAAGGTATTTTCCAAACAAATGAGACAGTAGTATTTTTTTAATGTATTTTACAGTTATGAAATATGCAATGGATAATCGTTCTAGGAATTTTTCCCCATTTAGAATCTGTAATAGCTGATTACTTTATAGCTTGTTTTATTTGCAGGTTCAGAATGGAATTTTTATTTGTGATTCATTTGTACAAATATTATGGTCACCTGACTTCATTTTGATTGCATGAACTTGTAACTTATAATACAAATGAGAGAAAATACTATGGCAATGTCAATGCCCAAATACTGGCTTATTATAGATTGATTTTAAACTTTAGAGATATAAGATTGTCTTATTCTTTATTACAGTAATCAGTATTACAAATAACAAATTTAAAGTTCTGTACAATCTCGGCTGTCTTTAAAAAAATGTGAACCTGGTTTTTCAATTTTGGGAGTGTGTATGCACCCATCGCGCCCACTGAAAACGGGCCTGCTGAGTGTGTGTTCCATAGGCGTTTGATACAGTGACTGGAGTAGTAATTTGAAAAGCATACAGGCTATCTTGTTATGATGTGCTATATAAATGCTGGCATATTATTATTACTTTCTCATCTTGGTATTATTTCATAAGCTTTTATAAAAACTGCTAAGATTGCTGGACTCAAGGCAAAGAGCAAAGCACATCTTTGAAGCATACAGAAAATAGAATCTTCTAGTGGCATCACTGTTCACACCTGTCACTTCTCAAACACTGAATATCAATATGAGTGTTCATGCCTGAGATATATGCATAATGCGAATGAATTTAGCGGGTACATTATTGTCATACACATTACCATCTTGTCCAATTAAAATATAATGTGGTTATCTTTATATAATCAATATCGTCACTGTCATTAACATTACCCTTATGACTTCTTATATTTCAAGTAGGTTGTTCATGCAGTTTAGCTGGCTTCTGTTGGTATAATGAATGATAGAAACATGATAATAATATGCCTAGTAAATTGTAAGATGGTATATATTCTTAACCCATCTGTTGTTCCAAAAAAAATTTTATATTGTACTTCTTGAGTATTTTATTGCGTAAAATAAGGATAAGAGACCTCCCGCTGGCGCTATCCCTGGCGGCAACCCTCCCCTAAAGGTTTTCAGCTTGGGCCAAATAATAATGAGGTCTATGGAATTATTGTCACAGCTGTTTTCATGAGCTACTCGGTTTCTATCAGTTCTTACTCATCAGTAATATGTTCAACTACAATATTGATCTCATTTGCTACCTAGACTATTTTACAACTATCGTATATAACCCCAGAGCCTCAGAGAATTCAAATCCCTCCACTGAAATTGTAGTTTTCTCATTTTAGTGAAATTGTTCTGCCAAAACTACCTTGGCAGAGGTGAAATATACTTTTATTGACAAAAAAGTACATGCAAGTTTGTGACGCCCTTGTTCAAGATCCTATTGCATATTCATAAATAATGCATTGTAAGCAGTTCATAATCAAATTGATAATGCTTTATTTTATTTAATTGTTAGGAAAAGATGCAAATTTCTTATTTGGAGGATTCATGGCAGCAATAGCCTTGATAAAAATATAAAATTGTTTTCCCCCAATTTTTATTTTTCACGGTAGCAGGTGCATTAATAAACCATAATTTAAATTTAATTTTTGCTGAAAATCATCATTATCGCCAAGTAATAAGATTGTGAAATAAAGTTTAAATTATCTCACTTTTTTTGTTGAAAGTTGAATTTTTACATGAGAATTGTAGACTCGGGTGTATTGAGGGCCCTTATCATCAGCTCACGTCGTAAAAATGGTCACCCTTGTGAAATATTTTTGAATAAATAATATATACATTAGGCTAGACTTTTCTTATACCTTTTTTAGTGAACCCTCTGACAGCCAATAATGGTGATTTCGAATAAAAATAAAATTTTATTCTTGCCAGTTAGCGGTGCACCTTCCGTCATAAAAAAATGGAAGTTTCAGAAAATATACATTTTTAAAAATTAATTTTCATTACACCCTCTGCTCCCCTGAAATCTCCAGAAATATATGTATTTCTTCCTTAATTATATAAATTTAAAGCATTTATCAATCTTATTCTACATTACATTCATCAATAACATTTTATTTTTATTTTCTTTTCTGCTTATGCTTTTGGCAAAATCATTTTGCTAAATAAAAAAAAAAAACGCTACAATTTTGTTTATATTTTTTTTTCCCGCCCTTCTCTGACAATCTCTAGAAAAATAAGTTTGCTCTTAAAAAGATAATCAAGATGTCTCGTGTTAACAGAAAAGTATTGAAAAGATGATCTTTGATATGATATGGCTGTTATTACACCTGACCAGTGAAGCTGTATAGATGGTTTCTTCTAAGATTAACTAAGATATGTCAACTATGTTGTCGTTGGATAGAATTACT